TCGCTAAACAATTGGCAGGAAGTAGCAAACTCGTTCTGAAAAGTACCTCTATCATTCTCGATGATTTGCTTGTCTATTACTCCATAAAATAATTCCTGAATAATTCATTGAAATATTTTGCCCTTATTTTAGAATAATTTCACGTTTGTCGATTGTATTTAATTCATTTATATTCTATTTATGTACTATTAATTATTTCCCAAATCTATTATTTCAAATAACATAATACATTTCTTATATTTTATAAAAAGTAAAATAGCGAATATATATGTAACGTATGCACATTTATAATGCGTGAAATCACAAGTGTCGGGTATTAAAATTAATTGTCTGTCTACAATACACTTAAAGTAGGAAGGATCCTTTAGAGCTTGATAGGATAGATTGCTAAGGATAGCATAATCCGCTACGGATTTGAATCGATCGGCGAGATTTGCGGTCGTGGAAACGGCGCGGTGGAGGGTAGGAAAATTCCGAGATTCGATCGGCCGTGCTTTCAGGCGTCCCTCCTCTCGATTAGTTCGCTTGTCAAGGAGAAACCTGAGGGCTACTTCGATCCGCCGAGAAGTTGGCGAGGGAAACAGAGAAGATGTTATTTTATATTTATTTTTAATAATGAAACAGTTAATTTTTTTTGTTAAATTAATCGTCACCCTTAATTCGTCAAGTTGGAGAATTCATCCCGTATATAGGATTAACGCGATCAAAAGTCAGCGATACCACGAAAATCTTCGAATAATTTCGAAAATGAGAGAATCTCGCGTTCTTTTTTTCCATATTTTCCCTTCTACCGCTCTTTTCACGGTCACTTTCCAACTCCTGTTGCACAAGAGAACTGAAAGGGAGGGAGAAGTAGAAATTCGACGGGACTCTCTCGAATTGGGCGACGCATGCACAGGAAAATGAAAACTCCCGAACGAGTTCCCGATGATGTGTGCAATGCGCGCGTGTGGTCCGACCTCTTCTTTTTTTTTTCTTTCCTGTTTGCCCGTTAATTCGTCGGATTATCGAAAAAGTGCATCCTAAGAGGATTACGTTGCACGGCGTATTAGAAAGGCGGAGTTAAATCGCGCCGCTTTCCACATATCTCGTGTAAATACGGCTCTCGGAAGATCGGACTTTGAAGAAAGACCAGTCTTTTGACCGGGTTGCATTGAGATAATATTGACGGAGATAAAAGGCACTTCGCACTCCGTTTGGTATAAGGATCAAACCCGGCGCGGCCCTTTGAAAAGTTAAAACTTCCCCCTCCCCCCTCCCCATTGACACCGCTTCCTTGACGTCTCGCCGGGAGACGTTTAACCCGCGGGTCGTAATACACGCGGGGATTAACCCGCGCGACTCTTTAAACGAGAAATAAACGACTTGGCGAGCAACGTACTTCGAGAACGAAAGTTTTACTACAACTGTTTCGCGAATTAAGAGCGGATAAAAAATTGCAAGATTCTAATTAGATAATATTGGCAGCGTCCATTTTTTTTTGCGGCATCCCCTCACCTTCCGGAGAGGGTAGGATATTCCGCCTCGCGCTCGTTATACACGTCGACGACTCGCGCGCTCGGCCCCGTGTATAACACGACGATTTTCCGCAAAGAGCCGATAAGGCCGTTGTCGGAAACGGGCCGCCGTGACACTTCGCCACGGCCGTTGAATCTCCGTCGGAAGTCACGTCGACGGCGGGTAAATGAGGCGTGTACGCGACGCTATAGAGCGCCGGACGATCGGTGCGCGCCTGGCCTGGCCTATACAACGAGCCAATTCGACGTGGCTGGTTATACCCACGCCGCGTATCTCGTATATACGCCGCGAGATTATCGCCGCGACTTCAGCGAGCCGGGGAATTTTCTTCGGCCCGAGAATTCCCATAACGGGGCTATATAAGCCGGAATACCGATACCGGAACGGCGATATCGGGCCACTCTGAAACCCGAGAGTCTCCGTAACCTGATTTGTTAGAAACCGAGAGGGGGGAGGGGAGGGGCTGGGCCCCGGTGATACCTTCCGCCGCGAATGACGCTCGATCAACAGAGAGAAGTCGATCGTTTCAGAAACGTCTGAAATGATTAATGGCGCGTCCCCCGCGTTGTCGCGAAACGATGATATCGCCGAAGGCGCCGTCGTTTATCTTTATCTTTAAAGTAAACGCGAGTCGAGTGTCGCGACGACGAAAGTTCGAGATCCAAAAGATCCGCGACGTGAGGATTTTTTTTCGGGTTTCCACCACGAATTCAGGGTGGATTTGTCAGCGTTTACCGCTCATCAGGTCGCGGTGTGGAATTTTTTTTAATTGAATAAATACCCTGACTGATTTATGAACAATCTGATGTTACCACGAATTGGATAATTAACTGTCGCTTGGAGTACTTGACAGTTGCAAACGTTGACGCGGAAAATCGATGAGCGCTTATCGCGCGCGAGATCGCTCGTCGCTGCGGAGAGCTATTCGCGATTTCGCAAATGTATTTCGCAAATATTTCCATCGAACTGTCGAATATTATAAAAGCGCAGTCCTCTGCGCGCTGGGGAAAAAAAAAGAGTAACGCGATTGACGAAACTAGCGAAACGCGCGACCAGCGTGAAACGAACAATTATCGATTGTTTCTGTATTAAATGACGATTTTTTTACCACGTGATATTATTTTTAAAAGGTTTTTCTAGAGGAGTATCTCTCTGGAAAAAAAATACCTCTATCCGTATTGTGATTGCATTTAATACCGAAATGATGGATAATCTGAGTCAACTTTTCCATCCTCCCTTTCCCGTTTACAGAACGCTTCGCGGCTCTCTAGATAGATCTTGTTGTAAAATCTGCGGTTCGCAGGATTTTTCCGTAGAGAATCCTCGGAAAAAGGCGAAAAACGAGCTGAATCTCTCGCATTCTGCTTTGTCCTTCTTCTCCTTTCCCGGATTTCACATCGCGGATCGCTCGCTCTTACGAATTGTCTCTCACGACGCAGTCCACGATATATACATGCCGGCGATACACACGGCAGGAGGAGGACGGTAAAATACCGTCGATATAGTTTCATTCGTAGTGCGAGAGTTAACGCGGAAGCATCTCTAATCGTGAATTGAAGACGAAGAATTTGTAGTGAATCGTCGTCGTCGTCGTCGTCGTCGTCGTCCTTTTTGACATGCGTCCTGATCGCGTAAGGTATTGTTAGCCGAGCCGGAGATCGTCGACGATCGTGGCACATTTCCGCGCGAGACATGTGTGTGCCTGCGTGTATGTGTGTATGCGTGCGTGTGTTTACAGAGGAAGAGAGAGATTTTGCCTCGGCCGGATTCGCGCGACGCTTTTCGGAAATCGTTTCGCGTGAAAACTGAAAAAAAAAAAAACGAACGAGTCCGAGGATTCGCTCGAGGGCGGCGTTAGTAGTTAGCGGCGCTTACGCGATCCGAAAAGGGGGAACGAAGTGTAGCGCGGTAGTTGGCGATAAAACTATGGGAATTAATAGTCGATTAGCCGATATAGTTATTGTCACTAATTACTAGTCTCGAGCGGGAAGAAGAGAGAGGGGAGCGCGCGAGGAGAGGACGAGGATGTAAAAGAGTTGTACAGAACCGCAAAACGAGCGGCCGCGCCGGTTCGAAACGAGGTCCTTTTGTCCTAAATGCGCATTCTAAATGGGAGAGCCTCTCCCCCGTCGCCCGTCGGTCTGCACGATGTTATGAAGTAAATCGATTCTCCCCCCTCCCCTCCCCTCCCCCGGTGCGCGATCGTCGACGCCATCCCCTCCCCCCCCGAGCTCCGCACGTAGTTTATTGTAATAACGAGGAATTAATTAGAGCGCGCAGATGTGTGCGTACGTTTGTCCAATACCGCGTTAAAAGAGAAAGAATATGAGAGAGGAGGTAACGCATGCCTGTCTCTTATCGGAATTGAATTCCGGCGACCCGAATCGGCGGCCCATCGATCCTTGTGTTATTACAATTCGGATGGATCCCTCCGGAGACACTGCGCGCGCGTGTCGGAACACTCGGATCCTCGGATTCCATCGAGGAATCGTTGATCCTCGCGTTCTCTCGAGCGGCGCAGTGAAATTTCCGAACACTTGGACCGCGCCTCCTTGAGCGTCTTTCTCCGAGTCCTTAAATCCTTGGATTCTGAAGTCTCGGCGATACGATAGAAATTAATTGTCGTATTGTGTGATCCGCGATCTCTAGGGTCTCTCTTCTCCCGAGGAGGTTCTCGAGTATATACATCGCCTAAATCCGGGAAAATGTTCGATCCGCGAGGTTCTTCGTATATTTGCGACATTTCGAAGTTCAAGGATCTGACAGTGGATTAACGGACGATAATGAATACACGGACGCTTGCGATATGTTTCTCATCCTCGGATTCCCAGGTCCCGCGCGGCCTCAATTCCCTCCCCTCCCCCCTCCCCTCCCCCCGCACAGAAGTTATTTGCGCACACACGTCGTAATCGACGCACGTGAATTAACGTGAATCGAATTTCCGAGGCGAGAGAGACACAAGTGTATTAAACCCTTTCCTCGATAGGAGGGAAAGGGGGAGAAAGAGAGAAGGAGCAAGAAGTGTCCGAAAATTCGTATGGTGTATTGTACGCGCTGGTATTTTTTCGGTGTTCCGCGGCGATAGAGTGTAAAATTAGCGACAAGTAAATAAACGTAAAAAAAAAAACCAGAAAAGATGTGAAGACCGCAGCCGGCGTTGGTTATACATAGAGATATTTACGTAAGCAACAGAAAAAAATAAGCGGAACGGCGTCGTAATGTGTATAGATTAAAAAAATAATAATAATTTTGGGTGCGCGACGCGCGAAACGCCGTGACGATGATGTTACTACCGCATGACGAATAATTAACACGATTAAATTATTAACGATTATAATTAAATATTGTCCCAATTATTATTAGAGAGACGTATGGAGATTTATTACTGCGACCACGAAAGCTCGCAAAGATGAAAAAAAAAAAACTTTGATCTTTTATCGCAAGGAGTACATACAACTAAATATATAAGCGTTTGTAAGGCACACACGTGAAACAAAATAAGTTAACGCGAGAAAGAGTGCGCGCGCGAGAGAGAGAGAGAGAGAGAGAGAGAGAGAATTGAGAGAATGAAAGAAAAAATGGGAGAGAAGTGAAAGCGTGAGTGCATGAGAGAGAAAGAGAGAAAAAGAGAGAGAGAGAAAGAAGAGAGAAATAACGTGCGTGAGAAATGTTAGTTCCGTTTTTGAGTGTTGAGAATGTTCATTTGTAATTGTTTAAATCTAATGAGAAATGTACTGTAAAACCATAAGTACTATAGGCACTAAAAATATATCATTTGTTGACATGAAAAAAAAAAGAATAAAGAAAAACCGACTGTGTGGCATGAGTTCTGTCCGCCGGGGGTCGACGAGACGGTATTTACGCGCACGCCGGCAAACACATATATACGTAATTGCGATGCATATTGCGCGTGCGTGTTACGAATCCCCGTGTGTTTCATTGTTGTATAATTTTTTTTGTCTTTACGTTTATTACATTTTTTTTTAATTTTCTTCTGTATTTAATAACGAAGCCGCGCGAGAGTTGGGGCGCGCGATGCGTTGTACCGTGCCCCGTTTGTAAACGGAAGAGCGCACCGTCGCGTTTGTGAACGGGAGTCGTGAACGTTTCAATTTTAGGCGAGTCTCGCGAAACGATGAGAGCAAGAGAGAGAGAAAGAGAGAGAAAGAGTGAGAGAGAGAGACAGAGAGAGAGAGAGAGAAAAAGAGAGCGAGCATCGAGCTTCAGTCTAGCGTTTAAGCGCATGGGCAATAGTGATATACAATAGACGTGAAACACCGTGTTATCAACTTTTTGTAGCAGAAAGGCGGTACCCGTCGAGCTGCATCGAGGATCTCCGGATTGAGGTGCCATTAAAGCGCAAAGTGTGACAGATAGACCATTAAATGTTCATTTTGTCAAGTCGGCCGAAGTTCATTCCACTGCGACTACGTACCGCGATGCGTCTCCGTTTTACGTTTTCCATCGCTTATCCGAGAGCATTATTCAGCTTCTATCTAAAGTTGCGCCGCGCGGGAGACAGGGAGGAACGATGAGTTCTAACGTAAGAGATTCACGGGGAAAGGGACATCATGAGGAAGGTAAGTGACATTTATGCACGCATGAATAATGTCCTTTTACGACGTACGTCTTATTCGTTATTTACAATCATAATTTACAGCTATAAAAAAATCTAGACGGTACGGCTGTTAATCAATACGTTGCGAGAGGCGTTAAAATTGCATACAAATTGTGTGGCAAAGGTACGAGTTGTAACGATAAATCTATCCTAGGCGAACGCATTAGATTCGCTCGCGTAACACGCTCGTTAAGTTATGCCCGTATTTCGCAGCTAAAACGTTTTATGTTTTAAACCCTTTCTACATGTGATACGTTTTCTTTTTTTTTTTTTTTTTTAATAAAAATAGTGCTCCTCGACGCAGGTCTGCGTGTATTCCACGCAATATATCCGATATATCGATTTTAGAATTAACCCTTAACAATCGTCGCGCGCCTGGAATCGCGAAAAAGTATAAAGATTATAAAAATTTTATACATCTCATATTAATACGTATTAAACATGATTTATGGAAATTGGCTAAATGCGACAATAATTCCCGATGATACTGGGAAAAAGTTGAGTTATTAAAAAAAAGCACCGATTACGTCAATCATAATCAACGGGTCTTCTCGCGGTTGGTTAAGGGTTAATTGAAACAATTTAGAGATGTAGGACTCATGTGGAATTTTCAGGTCGCTTTTAAAGTCCATAAAAAGGATAATATCAGCGTTATCACGTTAACCAGATTAGCCAGATCGCTGTACCGACAGTCACTGCTGCTGCTGCTGCTGCTGCTGCTGCTTCTGCTGCTGCTGTTGCTGTTGCGTGGGACTGCCGATGGTCTTCATTTTCTGTTCGTTCCCCCGACTCGACAAGTTCTGCTTCCTCTTCTCCTCGTCGCCGTCCTTCGCCGGCGGTGCCAGCAACGCGTTCAGCAAGCCTTGCACAAAGTATTATTATAATTACCATAACATCTTATACACGTTAACAATTGTCAATCGAAATCAGTCCACTCACCGATGTTCTCTCCCTTGAACGAGGTTCCTAGCGAAAAGTAGTCGATTAGAATACAGTCGCTTTAAAAATTCTATTCTCGCTCGAAAGAGATTTGCGTTCGGATCAGAGTTTAAGGCGACTCCAAAAGAAGGAACCGGAGTTTCGATGGTCCGAATTGTCGAGAGAATGACGCCGAGTTTCGAGCGCGTCGCGTCGAAAATTGATCGCGCGGACGGGACGAATTTTTACTCACCGTTACCGCGGTACTTGTTCAGCTGCTGGTACACCTGCTTCATCCGCTCGATGTTGATGCGCGAGCTCTTGCTGTGGTTCACCATCGGCAGCGAGTACTCCTTGCCGATGATGCACTTGGCGGCGTGCTGTATACTGAGCGGCGCGTTCCAGGGCTCGTGTATGTACCTGGTCGGCAAGTTCTTCAACACCGGCAGGTAGCGTCTGCGAATCGCGGGAGCAAGATCGATTTTTATCTCGAGACACGTCGTAATCCCTCGCGTATGAACACAGCCACAAAAGATACACACGTAATATCATTTACGGATACTCGAGAAAATAAACTGGAAAACAGAGGAAGTAAGATAGAAACGTATATTGCATTGCGTGCGCTCGTTCGCACGAGCTCTCGTAAAGATGTCGAGAAGAAACGTTATTCTCCGCGGAAATAAATTAATAGGTTGATAATCGAACACGCTTCGCCACCGTCGATGATTCGTCACGGTAATCTTTTGCGCGATTAAGCTTTAATGGAGCTCGAGCTGTTTAATGTTTCATCTATCTTGCGGCTGAATTTCGCTTCGGTCAGATTAACGCCTGATACGTTACAAATTAAGATCAATCAAGATTAAAATTTCCATTAGTCCGGGCAGCCATCGCGTGAGCGTTAATCACAGGCGCCGATAAGCATCGTGCACTGCACACGCGATCGTTAGCGTTAAACGTTATTTCGATGGGGAAAAACGCCGCGCCTAAACGCCCCCGTCGAAATTTTTTCTCGATATTTCTCGCGCATCGTGCATCGCTCTCGCGTTTATTTTTAGTTTCAAAAGGAATTTTTAAAAATACTATTTTAATCGATTACCTGATGTAGTCGCCGTTCGGATCGGCCTTCCTGCCGAATCGTACGGGGCAGTAGCAGTGGAAAAACTGTTGGAAGAACGAGCTGCACGACAGCCACATCCACATGCCGGCGTTCACGGACCAATCGGCGTCCAAAAGAAGCTCGTCGAACACCTCGAAGAAAAACGTTAGCTTCAACGTGAAATGGTAAAATAAACCAACAAGAATGTTGGTTAATTAATTATTAATTTTCGTGGTTATTTAATTATTAACATCCATCCGTTAATTCTGCTTAACGCTTTTTACACGTAATTAAATAGGCGTTCTTCTGTTCTATTTAATTTAACTTTGTCTTCTATCTTGGCGAATGAAATAAGTTATGACTTATACGATCGCATTGCAGAGCGATGCAGTTTATTTATTTATTTTTAATTGGAGAGATATATTATACTAGCGGATGCGCTGCACGTATTTCCGGGAAAAGGATCTCGCAACAAGAAATATTCCTACGAAGTTTGTATATTAATGATAAGAACAAACGCGGATAGAAGGAGGGAGAGAGAGAGAGAGAGAGAGAGAGAGAGAGAAACTCAACGAGTGTCGATTGAAATGCTAGGCATGCCGTGACATTTTACCTTCATTCCCTCCTCCCATGAGATCCAAAGGTCGCCCCTGGTCAAGAAGCAAGCCACCGCGTGTCTGGCCAGGTGATGTATCCAACCTTCTTCCCGCAGCTGCGTCATGATCGCATCAATCCACGGAAATCCGGTCTGACCCTGGCGAGGAAGAGGAAAAGTTTAGCACACGGTCGTAAAATCTGCGAAATTTCCGCGTCGCAATTTCGTTGTCGCGATAAACGCGAAAGCCTGCGTGAAAGCGTCACGCAAGATGACTCTCTTCCTCGATCTTTAGAACTTTTCAAAGTATCGTCTTTCTGATGCGCACACTACAACTCTTTTCAGTTTATTAAATATATCTTTTCGTGTAACTAATAGTCTCGCGAACTCATGAAAATCAAAATGATTATTGTAATATTTTATTTCACTGTCTTTTTATTTCATAGCGTTGTACGAGTAAAATTGCGAAGATTGAGATTAGATATCATCACTCACGTTTGCCCACTTTGCGAGCGCCTCCACGTTCTTGTCCCACGGTATCTGCACGCAAATCGGATTGCCCTGCATCCGATCGAAATTCGGATTCTTCGTCGCGGCGCAGTAGAAGAATTCGCGCCAGAGAAGCTGCCCGTGCAACGACAACGGTGGCATCGCTTTCTTTATCTGCAACAGTATCTATTATTGACAGGTAACCCGAACTAATCATTCGTTTACAAAATTGCCGAGAGACTAAAGTATCGCTCCGAAAAAAAACAAAAAAAGTAACAAAGTCGCTTTAATAAAAAGAAAAAGGGCAGAAAAAGATCTCGTTGATATAATTCTCGCTGAGAAGCAGCGAGAACGTTACTCCCTCGTAACTACGAACTTCTTGTACGAAACAGCTTTCGCGACTTCTTGCGGAAATAAAAATCTCGCGGCGCAATTAACGCGTCCCCCGAAGTTTCGTTTAATTATTACCGCGAAGTTTCGGGGCGAAAAGGAGAAGGGGGAGAGATAGAAGCTCGCCGAGAGGCTTCCGTATTAAATTTTGTGCGCGATAGATGTAGGTATCTCGCGCATGGTCGTCTTCATGAACAATTTTGCTCGCGGCACGTGTCTCGTACCTTCTTGTACAGATCGGTGAGCTGATAGTAGAATAACCGCGTACTGAGACAGCCGAATCGTAGGTAAGGCGACAGCCCGGTCTGACTCGGCAACAAGGACTGCGGTGTCATCTTCGGCCTGCCGAAGCTCGCCACCCACGCCTTCCTCTCGAGGTGACGCTCGAGCCTGGCCAGGGCCTCGCTCTCGCCGCCGACCCACACCGGGGGCAGCAGATTTTCCGTATCAAAGCCTGTAATCATGAGAGCGAAGCTTGTACACAGGTCAAAGTCACATTCCTCAATTTTTAGACAAGTTAACGCTACGCGATCTTACTCGGTTTATTATTTCATTTAGCGAGCAGCGAAATCGACCTTTACACGGTTTCTAATTCGACATCAAAATATTTCAATTTTAATACTCAAATTAAAAAAAAGTTATTTAATGACTTTGATGATATATTTAATAAAATTTCGAGCGTTATTGATTACAATTTATTTTATATTAAACATCTCAATGAATCCTCGGACTTAACTAACGTATTAAATTAATAAAATTCCGAAAATAAAAGTTCGATTGTGTACAACAAAATATCGCTATTTAACCGCGTCGCAGAAGCTTACTACAGAAACGTACTTTTTGATTGTTTAGCGCTCGAATGACGCCTCGACAGTTTTATTAAGAAAAAGTCGACGCGGAATATCGACCTGCAGGGAGAGTCCGTCACTTAAATTAAAGAGCCGTAGATATCTCGTGTACAGCACAGTATTATTCGGCGACGGTCTTGCTTCCTCGTCCCTTCGGCACTGCGGAGAATTGCAGGAGAGGGAAAAAGAGCTTGAGAGTCTTCGGGATACGCGGTGACATTTGATAACAATGAGAAGAAGCGAAGTGACGGAATAATGTGCGACATTTGAAAGTGAAGGACAATGCTAGCTATACATCAACGGGAGCTGTGCATCAAAACGGGAGGTAATGGGCCGCTATTGCACCGCGCGCCCGAGGAGGAGACTTTAAGACGCCCGACGCTCAACAATAAGAACAATCGGCCGAGGTAATTAATAATCGATCGGATCCTCCTCGTTATTCCGCCCGCCGCGTCGGGAGTGACGCCCGGGGTGTGCACGTATAATGCGATTTCGAACGCGCTCGCGGATTACAACGAGCGCGCGCTATCGACGCGGCGCGATGAATTACGTTATGCGAAATAATACTCGATTGCTCCCTTACGGGCGGCGGCATTAATGCTGCATCGACTAATCTGCCGCGAATGAATTCTCCATGGCACAAGCGCGACGGACTCGCGCTTAATCCGCAGTTGCCCGGCCCCGGGCATATTCTATTCGAAATGCGCATCTCGTTATTACCTGATATATCATCGCGAAACAACGCCTCGTTCTAGTTTGTGTACCGAGCGTTCTGCAATCCCGTAATTTTAACGATCGGTCCCCTCGATCGAGTCGAGGTCGATTTTTTTTTAACTCAATTAAAATTAAAACTCGCAAAAAAGAAACGCTGTATAGATGAAATTGTGGTCTGATTTTCTCTGAGAGTCTCTGTGCTTCGCAACAGTTCGCGATTAATAGAACGACTATTTTGACGATTTGTCATTAATTCGCAAGATGACAATTAAACTTAACTCTGGGCTTAACGTTAAAACTTGCTCGGAAAAATCAATCCTCACCGAGTTCCTCGAGGGTGGGCACCCCGTAATGGTCGTCGTGGTCGTCCTTTAGGGGTGTATAGGCGCTGCCGATGCAGGCGGCCGTCACCGTGGGTACCGGAGGTTCCGGCGAGTCCATGCTGGCGATGATGTTTTGAAATTGATGATAGGTCAACGGCGGTTTCCCACCATTTCTCTCTATGATCCTGAAACGTACGACGACGGGGGGCGCGGTGGAGTCGCGAAATGGCTTTGCGAAAGTTGCAACGTAATATTTAATCTTAGCGGGTACACGCTAGGATTCCATTTTAAACACTCGGATGCACGTGTAGTTAACTAACATGTAGCTCTCGAAAGATGTTCATTTTTTTTCTTCTATATATAAACTACGTTTCGTTGAAAATAATTTTAGGATTATAATTACAAAATTGACTTTTAATTACGATTCTAATGATATGACAGATAATTCTAATTAAATTTAATTTGCATTATCTTTTGAAATTATTAACATTAGAAATTATAGCTTTATTAACGTTTACGTATATATATTTCTATTTAAATATATGTTAACTATAGATATTTAAAAAGTTATGAAAGTGGAAAATAAATTTATTAATTTAACTGATTGATTTATATGTGTATATTGCAACAAAATTCACAGAAAATGCAGTGTTGTACTTGATAAAAAATTACAAAATTATATTAAATTCAATGACTGACATGATGAGTCTTAAGTGTTGAAAATCAATGTTAAAAAATTTTTCAAACTCACTCATCTAGTCTGTAGAGAGTATGCGAGACCCTTTGGACCACCGAGATACCGAGCTCTTTGCAGAGCGCCGAAATATTGTGATCTCGCACGCGGCCGAATGGCTCTGGATCCTCCTCGAACGTCAGGTTCGTCGTGCCCCATTCTTTGAAGAGCTTAGGGAGCGCGTCGGCCGGCTGTCCCCGGATCACAAACAGCCGGGAATTTAGTTTCCTCAGGGAACAGTCTAGGTCCTCTAAACATTGCAGCAGGAACCTGTCGGATCGCGTAAAGCAAATCGATGAGAATTACTTAATAATTTTTTAGACAACGTTAAACTAAAATATCCACATATAGATTCTAACGATATCGGTAATAATATGATTATGATTTAACAAGCTCGAAATTAAAGCACTTTTATACTTTTTAATTGACTTTTTCACAAATAATAACATAATAAAAGAATTGCCGTGTATAAAATTATGGTGGAACGGAAAACGATACTTTGTTAAGTATCTCCGCTGCGATTAGATTTAGCACTTTAGTATATAGTAATTGAGAAATAATTCATTGTTAAGAGCAACGTAACATACGAACACGCGCGGCTTACGTTTGCCGTTTGACTCATTTTTGGTCAATGTCGCCGCTAATGTTCCCCTTGTCAGCCGTGATGCAGTAAGATTATCGACAACATCTAAGCGATCGAAACGCTTAGGAAACGGTTACATAACGCTTAATCAACATGACAAATGATCGACGACGCGAGGGGCCGCGCTCGAATGTCCGTCGCAGTAATGCATCGAGATTATGCGATGCAACGAAGATCTACGGCGCCGCGGCGTTTGTGGAAACAGTATTGACTCGCCATTGTCGGCGAATTAAACAATCGTAACTCTCTGCTACCGTGGACACGATATCATCCAAACCTAATAATACGCGATACGGAAAGCTCGATATACCGCGGCGATAATTATCCATTACCAGAATATCTGAATATTTTTCCATCGACGCTCGATTCGCAACAGAGAATTGGAAAAGCAAGAAACAGAAAGAGAAAAATAAAATAACGGAATAAAATGAAGCGAAAATTTATAGGGAAAAAAAGGTTTCCATTTACTGTATATCGACAGCAATATTACGTAAGAGCGGCACGCTCATTTGAGGGCGCCAACGCGTCCCGTGTTGCACTATTCCCGCTCTCACAGAGCCGACACGTATATCGATTCCCGCTTCCGCGATCCCGCGGGGTCATCGCGGTCGCTCACCTCCATTTATTGATGCCGACGTTGGTACTTCCGGCGAACCAGGGGTCCAGCACGAAGACGCACCGGAAAGTGGACGCCCCCGCGAGACCCTCCTTCAGCGAGGGGTTGTCGTGCAGCCGGAGTCCCTTGCGGAACCAGTGAACCGTGTGCTTTCCGCCGTCGCCGCGGACTCCCGAGGTCACCGCCTGGCCCATCTTGTTGTTACTACTTCCCGTCATCTTTTCCCCGATACACCCTACAGAAGAGTTGGACATCCTCAATTAGTTGACTCAGCGCGCGGAAGTAATTCCATTAGATATATACATATATATATGTCCCACTCGCAATTACAATCAATCTATTACGATATTACATTTATTGATAAATTGACGGGGCGTTTATTAATAAAGCAGGATAGTAGTTTAGCAATTCCCCTCGCGAATTTTATCAATTAGAATTCCAAATTCGAATTTTATCACCTTAACAGTTTTCTCGAAATTTTTTAAAATCTTAATGCCTGATAACTTCGAATTGAAAACGCCGCTTGAAATTAATTGTGGTACGATAAAATTTTATCGGATATTATATTCCTGCGATTTAATTCGCGAAGGCACCATCGTCTTCCTTCCCCCGATTAGTCTTTAATGGCTAGCTGTAAATTTTAGAAAATTCTCCGCGCTCCGCCGAGAACTTGAAAAAAAAAAGACTCCAAAAATTCTCTCGATATTCGCCGCTACTACGAGATCCCCTCTCGATTACGGCGGATCAGTGCCGTAAAAGCGCGCATCTTGAATTTCCTCGCGCTATCAATGTCTCAAAGAGAGAGAGAGAGAGAGAGAGAGAGAGAGAGAGAGAGAGAGCACCGTCTCGGTGCTCTCGAAGCCCGAACAAGTACGGCGCGGCGGTAGAATCGATCCTCGTGGGAGCTCTTACAAATGTACCTTGTACCTTGCCGCCACTCTGTCCGTATCGCCCCGAAACGCATTGCTAAAGGATCCCGTCTCTGTCTTGCTTTTTCGGTTCGCTGCTAAGCCGGAAAATAAGTCGGCCTGCGCGGGGCGGCCGACCTTGAGGCTGGAGAACTTCCGCTTCGAGCCTCGGCGCGCGCGGAGGATCGCGTCGTGCGGAAAATTCGATTTTCCCCGGATATGTCCTGCCGAGGATCCCACTTCGGCAGGACGCTCCCTCTCGAAGGGACCACGCCTCGATTGGCCGCACTCCGATTTGGCGTCTTGCCAACCGCGGAGGGGGGATAACGAGAACGTTTATTAGCGCTTTGAGGATCGTCTGCCCTCGAGTGTTACATCTTTTTTTTCATCAGATTTCCACCGTCAGTTGATCCGCAGGTAGATAATTGCAGTCAAAATCTGTTCTCTCTCAGACAATTTCGATCTTAGACAATTTATTTGCAAACGGATCCGCGACACCCTACTCTCGTATCGCGGCGCAGAGTTTCGCCGCGAGACACTCGACACGCTACCGCGAAACTATTGCAACAACGTGGTTTCGTCGCCGCGCAATGATTCATGCACGCGACGTCATGAACTCCATTGTAAGGCGAAATTAGCGTATCCATTGTGTGCGAGCACGTGCACGTTATTTCGAGGGGGGGGGGAGTCGAGGCTTACCTATACAGAACACGCAAAAGACGTCTTTCGAAAAATTCTCTCTCATCCCCGAGGATAGAAAGGGACAAGAAATAAAAATAATTTCATAAAATATTCGTCAATTTGGAAGATTAGATGCGCAATCTTCCTCGCAATTTCAGATTTTATTTGTTCCCCACAGAGGTGCAAAATGTTATACATATAGCTAACTTTATATAAATTTCTTCTCTCTCTCTCTCTCTCTCTCTCTCTCTTTCTTTAATAAAACGGCTTCATTATTACACAGATGAGGATCGTTCTTTTTCAAAATAAATTCAATCATTTCCATCACTTGCGGCGAAAAATCACGGGAAAAATCAGCGAACGAGCGAGCGATTTCAAGTCTCGCGACATCGAGGACAGTTAGGGAAATCTCGACGGGGGCGGCGGATCGTCTTCGCGATGGGTATACGGTTGATTTCCCTGGCAACCGAAGGGGCTGCATTAATTTTATTCCGCAAGCACGTTTATATCCGCTGCACCAGTGGCGTAAGTTAACGGTCTTCGACCGGGGAAAATAGGGACACGATATTCGATGGAGACATTAAAAAATAAAATCTACACAATACAATTTTCATATATACAGGTATATCAGCGTCTCGTTATCTGTTATATTAAAAAAAAATTCTTTTTAATTCACTTCGATAATCAACGGCATTCTTCTTTCATTATTAATTGTCAATTATTATTAATGTCGGCACGTATAGAGGTGAAGATAAAGCAATTTATTATTCCGGGGCGAACGCCGTCAGCAGAGCAAGGTAATCAAGATCGATCCTTTGAAGTTCTCCTCCGCAGACGGGGGCGGAAAGAGAGCGAGAGGGGGAGAGACGCGGAACGAAAGGGGGGGGGGAGGAGAGCGAAAGAGTGACCTGAATGTTGGTTACGCTGCACCGTTGCACCGTTGCGAGTTCCGTGTGTGTCGTTTTCCAGCAACGGCAGCGAAACCGCCGGCGAGATTAGCCCCTCTAGACGGCGAGGGCTATCTTTCGGCGCCGTTATTCACATGAGCCGCGTGGGCAGGAAGGGCGGGAGGCAAGGTGAACCAACGTGCGTTTTGCGGTAATTTATTGCGGAATTCATTCGTACATTCCCGCGACAGCAAGTGTGCGCGCGGAAAGCAAGGGGGTTGACTGAAGCGCGGGGTGCATTAATGCGTTAATCGATAGTGGTGGCTCGAGAGGTATCTCTCGCAGCGTCAGCGGTGAATGTTGGTCTTTAAGTGATGTGTGTGTGTGTGTGTGTGTGTGTGTATGTGTGTAACAGATTTATCAAGATCAATAATATAGCTCGCGATATCGTTATATATACTTAGGCTACATTCCAAAACGTCGCTTTAGAGGAAAATTTTATTAAAAAGCTATGGCATACATAACGTAAACTATATAGCTTTTTAGTAAAATTTTCCTCGAAAGCAACGTTTTGGAATGTAGCCCTAGAAATATTTACGCGAATATTCATTTGATCTGGTAAAGCGTGAGCTCGCGTAAGTGGAGCTCGAGAGATCAGTGGAATACCGCTTGGCGTGTCAGTCTCACCCGGTCCGTCTCGTCTTTACCCATCTCCACCTACTAGACGGTGGATAACTGAAACGCGGGCCCGCTCCCACTCGCATTTCGTCATTTCGTGGGCTTCACCGTTGGCAATTCTCCCGACCTGGTACGTTGAATTAGTACGGAAAATTGTACCAGTGCCATTATACCGTCGTCAACGGAGCATCAACATCGCCGACTCGCCCTATCTTAACTCCATTTAAAGTTGCGATATTACATCATCGCCGCGCGCCGCGCTTCGCCGCCCGCCGCTGCCGCATGGAGGCGGCAATATAATCGAAATTTATCGTTTTTTGATGGAATTATCCCACCGTCCTCCGATAACTTCTTCCGAGAAACTTCTCAGTGAGAAAGAAAGAGAAAGAGAGCGTGCGTGCACAAGGCACTAAAAGCCGATACGATACGTCGTATCTCGGCGAACACGAGCATCCCGCCGTCTCGATCATGCCCGCAGACGTCTGCGACCGGTTCACGATGGCGTCACAGCCGTTTTCCCGTGGAGTTTTCCCGTGGCAACTCTCTTCTCGCAAAAGAGACCGCGACAGAAAAGAAACTTTAATTCTGACATACACACACAGAGAGACGATCAGGAACAGCGGAGGAGGCGAACTTGCTTCCGCGTCGCGCGGAATTAACTTTAATCTCTCGAGGGGCTTTCAGCGAAAAGGACACCGCACATTAAATATTTGTATACGTTCCGCTAAAATGAACTTTAACGCGCCGGATTTTTAAAAGAGCATCGTCCTTAAGTTATATTTGGGCAAAAAAAAAACGTCGTCGTCGAACGCGGGACGAAGAAGTGATCGGTTTTTTCTCTGAAAATTCTACGTGGCATCTTTTAATGATAAGCAACGCAGCTTCAGCGTTGCACTTGTATCGTGTTACAAGTCGTGTCACTTCTCACGCTGCAGATCTCTAAAGAGCCGGAAGAAACTCAGGAATAACTAAAAGAAAAGTGATGCGAGTACAATTCGAAGTTGTCTCTCTATCAGGCTCGATAGAAAGTTATTCACGCACGTACGGGAATCAGTTAAACGAATAATCCATACAGAATGTATCTTAAATTGCGCCCTCATTAATTATATAATTATATATTATAATTATATTATATAATGTTGTTCCTTGTAAAAAAAACTGAGTTGAAAAGTACTGAACTATTTTTTTCTACAATGTTTCATGATGCGATGAGTAATTATTACTGCAGTAATTACCGGTTCATTGAGAACTGTGAAAGGAAACAAAATTATTCTTAAGTAGAGCTTACTAATCATATAGCGTTATTCCTTATAAAAAATTGAATTACAAAATCCTGAATTATTTTTTTCTACATAAAGCTATAATTGTTGCAGTAGTGAAGAAAATGATTCAGAGCTTTTTGACTCAGTTTTTTACAAGAAAAAAACACTACATAATTAGTGGGCGCTATTTAAGATACGTCCTGTATGAAGAAAAGACGGGCGATGCACTACGTCGCGTCGCCACGCGCCACACTAACATCCTTTTCTCGGCTTGGATTACAATGCAAGCGGAACGGCTCTCGCACTCTCTCGATAATGCCGGTGGCGATTCTTCACTAGTACGTTGAATTACACCACGGAAAACTAGTGCTATTATATCGTCGTGTCGAAACGGCGCGTGCATTTGCCTTTTTACTGACCGCAGCAGAGAACTCCGTCCAGAAATTTGAGACGATCGGCGAAATACGGACTCGACTAGCTGAAGCTGCCGGCGAATGCATTTATTTTATTTTTGCGTAGTTTGCAGCCCGTCCTCAGAATTTTGATATAATTCTCTGAGATTCTGGCTTTACAGAGATTTCTGAGAAGCATCCCAAAGAATGTCCTATCTTAAATGTAATAAATATAACGCAACGAAAAATGAATGTACTAACTCTTTTTATTTTTATTAGACTCGATTGGATTTTATTTTATTATAAATATTGGCACTCAAAAAAGGTGTATAGATATTAAACGTAAAGGATATATTGATACATTTAAATCCGCTTAAGGGATTTAATATGTGTGTATAGAATTTATTTTTTTCATTATCTGCTCCAAAGAACTCTGGAGTTACATTTCAGTATTTTCGATAAATTTTACGTTCGAAAATCACCCGAATGAAGTATACCGACGCATTTGATATAATCCTGTTTCTAGAGGGATTTTAGAAGGATGGCGAGTGTCGATATTACATAGTCAACATCGAGCGTCGATGGTATCTAATTATAGCGACAGCGATTAATGTCGTGCGGGCGTGTGAATCCACGTATGTGTGAGAAATTATGTGTAGATCGAATGTCCAATTCGCACCCAGAGAGAGAGAGAGAGAGAGAGAGAGAGAGAGAGAGAGAGAGACGGCTTATTTTGTTTATACCCGCTTCCGGGGATATCCTCGATGAAGAGGAGGAGGAAGCTCCGCTAACGAATAATACAATCAAGACAAGCGCGGGATTTTACTTATTGCGTATAAATTTAATTAACCACCTGTGGCGTCACGCTCGTACCACTCGCGCGATAAATAATTTTTGCCGTTGAAATTCAGCAAATTTTACATTTCATTAAAACCCCTATTTATTTTAACGCGCTTCCCCGTCGCGTCCCGTTTACCCCCATTGATTTCGACCGGCGCTACGTGTATTTACATTTTCCACATCGCCGCCGGTGGTGTTGTATCTCTGAGATAAATTTTCACGCGCGCGTCGCGCGAACACGTGTGAACGAAATCGCGATATTTCGCGGGAGGAAGAGCGACAGGTGTACGCGTCACGTTCGACACTCTCGTTGCGCGATCGTTACACTCGCCGGAGGAAGACGTTCGTCGAGTTCTGTCTAGTAGAGGCGACGAGCGCGATCAGCGCGATCCCGGGAGAAGTTCGGCCGTGCTTAAGAGGGCTTGAACCGGCACTTTGATGGATCGGCGTGTTTACTCGCAACAACACACGACAGTGACTAAACACGGCGGCGATTCACGCGTTCTCCGTTCTCCGTGATAAAACGCTGCCGACGACATTTCGACAACCCCCGTACGCACTAATTGATAAGGGTCGAGATCCGGGGACTAAGTTGGGAACATCCATTCCGCCCGAAAGTAGTATCCGCTCGTCGAGTAGACGAGTCAATAAGTTGAACCCGCGGAGACGATTAAACACCTGTTTCCCACCGACCGACCCAGTTCTCGAATCGGTTCGACTCGAATGATGGGAGTTCTCTTCCGCGACATTAATGAAACTAATAATTTTATTAATGTTAGCCTAGTGTTAATAGAATTAATTAATATTAATTACTAATAATAGTAATTAATATAATGGAGAATCTTACACAAATTCTCTTCCGTAAATTCTTGATATCGCATTTCCTCGTGGCATCGGGTGACAAGAATTATTAATTTTTCACGTGACGATCTTAAGATTACACAATTATACATCATTTATAAAATATCTTGTCAATAACATTGCGGATTGACTGATTATTTAATATCTCAGATCGGAATTTCTTTTATCTCAATGAGTGAAATTAATGTTGTCAGAACTGCGATAAGTTGAGCAGCAAAAGATCTATTGAATTATTTGAATTCTAAATAGTTAATTTTTCAGAAGTGCTTTCTTAAGTTTGAAACGATTTAGGAATATTATTTAATACTTACCCGTGAAAACTAATTTGAAAATAAATTAAATTTATATCGCATTTTTTCTCAACGCACAGAGTCAGATGTAAGCATATGTATATGAACCTTTAGATTATGTACTTATATATATATATATATATATATATATATGATTATACACATATTAGTCGTTATATATTAATTTTGGTATATATAATTGTATAATTTAAACTATAATTAATAAATAATTAAATATATATATATAATTATAGTTTAAATTGTATATAAATTTTATACGTATGTATAGTTTTAATTATATTTAAATTATACATATATAAAATAACACATATATAGCAAGGCAGGAAAATCGAAATTTAATGCCTTGATCGCTATTTAAGCAGATCGCAAATCTAATGTAACGTAACCGCTTTCTCTCTTACTTTCGTTCAAGCGACCCGGTGAAAGTGCGCCGAGTTAGAAGAGCCGGGGCACCGCGCTGTCGATCTACCGTGTAGAATTCCGCGGGTAAGCCGAGCCGCTTACGAGGAGAGCTCGCAATCCGCGAGGCAGGTTCGCCGCGGAGCGTGCATCGTCGTAGCGCCTACAATCACGAGTTCCCACCGGCGATTAGACAAGGCCGCGAAGCCGTATGACCCAACGACGGTTCTCAGATTCCAGCGGACGGGCGTCGAGATCGATCGATCGATCGACGAACTCAAATTGACGAGCGGCAGCCGCGACGCACGCTGATCGCCGCGACGGCGACACTCATTTCGCTCCTCGCAGACTTGATTGCGTTTCGTAAATTCAGCGGAAATTTATTCGCAAATCATCACCATCACCATCACCATCACCATCACCGATCGTCTCACGGCAGACTCCCGTCAATTCTCGATTTGTTAATCGCGCAACCTGAATTACCGAACTGAATTACTCTGATTCAACGCGATTCACTCGCGACACTCTCGCTGGGTCGACGACGCGCTCGCTGCCGCGGCATCGTTCTAATGCGCCGCGCCACTTGACGCGTCGATCCTTCTAATTCCAGAACTCAGAAGCAATCGAGCGTCGCGCGATAACGATAATTCACTGTTTACCCGCGAATTCTGCGCAACATCGACTTGACGCGGGAGACTCGCGCTCGCACTTGGCCCTCGTCGCGACGCGTGCTCCTTTTTTTTTTATTTCTTCCTCTTCTCTCCAGCTGCGTGTCTTCGCGTATTTCTTCTTTTTACTTCACGCAATCGCACAAACGGACATACGCGGCGGACAAACGAGGTGATGTCGCGCGACCGAAAAACCGCACCGCACCGCACTGCGCTAACAGCCCGATCGCATATGCGAACGCGATAGTTTGGTGGGACCCGATGGACGAGGGGGCAGCGTGCAGGAGCGTGCGGGGGCGATTGAGCCACGCCGAGTGCAACGTGACCGCCGATCCGCGGCAGATCCAATTGGACCGCTCGGATCACGTGGTGCCGCAGTCACGTTGCAGCCGCCGTGGCCGACGTCGTCGGGAGTGTGCACCTCTCGCTCCCGCGAGCGGCCGAGCGGATGCTTTACTCCGTCGCGTCGATCTGCCCGAGGCCGTGCGTTTCCACTGCCTCACTCCGTGAGTCTTCTTTCCGAAGACCCGGGATCCTCGCGAGAAGGCTCAAAATCTCGCCGGGATCTCCGGGAAAGTATTTTAGAAACCTGGGGAATCTTCTATCTTCAGACCCTTTGAAAAATGAATGAATCTCTGAAAAATTTAAAGGCGGTTTAATTACCGAAATCACTTTTTATTCTATTGTTTCTGTAAAGAGACCTTTTGGCACATATTCAGTTTAGGGGAGCGACTTGAAGAGCTGCATGTTGCTTGATGAATTTCAGATGGAACGAATCTGGACCGAAATTTTGTATCTTATTTAAAATTTTATCAGGACATTCAACGCTGAATTAAAAAGTTGTTTGAGCAGAAATTGAATCTAGATTATCAGGGAAAATCTCACGAGATTTTTTTGATAATTTTAGACGACTTTTTCTAATGATAATATTTAAAATTAAATATTTTTAATGCAAGAGATAATTTATGTATATTTTAGAACGGATATTGGTTAACTACTACGTTTGTGTAATAGAGAATGACAAATAGAATAATCTCCTCAGTACGTTATGTATTTATAACGTTACGCACCTAGTCGACAAATTGTTTATACATATATTATATTTTGCGTAACCATTTGATATCGATTCAAAGCGCCGCTGAACTGTGGGACGAGGTTACTATTGATCTGCAAAACCCGGCTTGCGTAACGAACTTGTGTTTGCCCGATTAAAATAGGCTTCGTGTGTTAAACGAATATATTTAACTATTCATTACAGAGAGAGAGAGAGAGAGAGAGAGAGAGAGAGAGAGAGAGAGAGAGAGAGAGAGAGTCGCGGGACATCGATCCGATAATACACAGCTAGGGTTTATCGCTTGATTCGCATGAAAATTCAACCGAGACACCACTTTTAATTACAGATGCAGAGCACAACGGCTTCTATTGTACATGCCTCCGGATTAATTACCGATTTAATTAAATTGCAGTAATTAGCAACAGACTGATTACACGAGAAAGAAACGAGTGGCGAGGTCACGGTGATGGCGATACGAGTTCGCGGCACGAGAGAAACGTGTTGTTTCTTCGAAAATAAAGTGACATCCCCGTTACGTACAGCACGGGGGAAACGTTGCGCGTTTTTAATAAATGATTACGAAATCGCGCCTCAGTGGACAAGTTTGTAAAGCGAAAGATGCGTCCGCATTGTAAGGGCCTGGCGGAACGACGACGACGACGACGGTGGGTCTCCCGCGATGTAATTCATGCGGTAATCACCAGGGTTCCATTCAGGAGGGCCATAATCGAGTTGCGGGGACAACAATGGGATTGTGCAGTTTATTTCACCACGGTCCGCGTAGTCTCGGGGTAAAAGGTATACCGGGCGAGACGAAGTTCGCGGAGGAAAACGGGAGGGAGGAGGCGGTGGGCAGAGTGTGGAAAGTATCGGCTCGCTATTTCACGACGATGACGCAACGGACGTTAGTGCAAACTGTCGCAATTGTTGCTCGACGGCAATTACGCGCAAGCCGCGTACCTGCGCATGTACCGTTTCCTTTCTGGCGGTTCTGCTTCGCGAGAAAGTATTTCTTTATATTTTTCTTTAATTGCGCGAAAGGAAACTGCGTGAGGAAAAATCATAATTATCATTTTACTGTCTGTTACGCGCGAATCAGTCATACGACTGCATGACGATTGTCTTCTTCACTACACACACTTCGCGTGTTATTTAACCTTTTAAATGAATATTGCATACAGTTCAGCCATCTAAGCTATATGCCAAAAAATAAAGGAAGAGATATCGACTGTTCTTCAGCGTAAAGATGATCACACTCGACGAATTAAACATGCAACTTCCCTGTTCGTGAAGGATTATTAGTAATAAATGATAAAATTTCAAATTATCGAAAGTCACAAGATGTCGCAGTGACAAGATATCAAAAATATAATTTGTGAAATATGATATGTATCAGGATCTTAAATTACAACTTTTATTATCGAATCTATTTACGCCAGATCTGTTTATTTCTAAAAATTGTGATTTCTATTTTACATTAGAAGAAAATAATAAACTATAAATAACATATTATTAATTATAATATATATTTCAGTATTACACACAATTTAATATTTTTCGTATAAAAATATTACACATCATCATTTTTTTAAAACATCTTGCAGTTTTTGTGATGCCGCGTGAAATTTTGTTCTCTACTTAATTATTTGTCAAATAATACATTTTCTACTCCTATAAATTCTAATGAAATGTTATCGAAAGAAACACTGCACTCCGAAAAGATACGGTGCCGCGTTCCTTAATTAAATCCTTTGAGTAACTTTTCGAGAGTTCCGTATTACTCTTATTTTGTGTATCACAAATAGACGAAGATTCTCCCTGCTCATTGTACTGCGTAATCGCTATAATTCGCTATAATTCGCTATTCTCATTGCATAAGAAAGGATATTTACCTTCACAATATCTTTGACCGAGTTACCATGCATGTCCATAATAAAACTTTATCTTCGTTGCATTCAAAATTTATATAATTAAATTTTATAAATTTATACAATTAAATTATACACTATTATATAACTATATAATAAATTATATAATTGTATAATATAATAAATTAAATTATAATTCAAAATGTTATAGATACAGTATCGCAAAATCACCATCTTCAATTTTCGCGAAGATAATATTGTTAGATTATCATTGGATTAGCATCATTATTGAATCATGTTCTTACAATTAGTTAAGAAAGAAAATATTGTTATCCTTATACCTCTTTTCTTATTGCACTTAAATTTGTTTAATTATTCATGGAAGAAATTTATCGAGGAATCGATCGCTTCGGAATACTTTATTATAGCAGTTATAGTAAGCGATTTTGATAATAACCGTTTACTTATTTAAAGTGCTGTTAATCGTTTTTCATACGGGGGGGGGGGGGCAGAGGAGATCCTTTTAGCACGCTGCAAATAAACGATGAATACTCTCTTAGAATAGTTACAGTCATTTATTCGTTTTCACATATAAAACGTATCAAGAGGAGAACGGCCCGCGTTTATATTTTTCGAGGGCTCCCCCTTACTCTTGCTACATCTTCTATTGCGCAAAACCATTATGACATAATACAAAAATGACTCTCCCTAAAAATCCATAATGAGTGTCTCCGTACGTTCATTCGGAGTTCGGAGTAGATAGATTACGCCTGCTTTAAAATCTCTCTTTCTCTCCCACTCTCTTTCTCCCTCTCTCCCTCGACGCTTTACTTATTCGTTATCGTAATACGTAATATTTGACATATTATCCTGTCGCTCTATAACTAAATATTCTTCTCTATACATTCTCTATGATTTATTCCATAAATTCCATACGCTTCTTTTTACACTATATATTGTTGTTAAGATTAGTTCATATAATAGTAGTCGTGCGATTTTCTAACGATATCAACCGGCCTTATTTTCATCTCCTCGCGATTACTTATTACATACATTATTTATCGTAATATTTTCATACTTAAAGCGGTGTACAATGAGACTGTGAGATTTAAGATTTAAGAAATTAACTAATCACAGTCGATTATTCCCCTCACATTCGACTGATGTGTGATTGGGTGATTTCTTAAATCCATGACACACAGAAAAACTCAAGCAGTAAGACGTAAGCGATGAAAAAATCAACATGTTGAATTTGCTACTGCTTACTTTATGGCCTCTCATTCTCGATTGTGATTGGTCGACTCGCTTACCGCTTACGTCTTTCTGCTTAAGTTTTTCTGTGTGCCATAGCCCTTAGTCTTAAAATCTCATTGCAGATGACACCGCTTAAAATTCACATAAAAAGGAAAAAAAAAGACAGTTGAAAGACTACATTCTTGCGGCATGCAGAGGACCATAGGACAACAAACATTTCGTGCAATATTTTTTAACGGCGAAAACATATATAATCGTTGCGTTTACATAAAATCAGATATGGAATCAGAAAAAATTCTGGAAGGTTAGTAACAGGAGTGATAAAAACATCCTCCCTCTTCACCACAATCGTTTCATATCCTTTGTTGGCTCCCGTTTATCCCGCACTAACGAGGAAACTTTCGGAAGCCTCTTTGAATTCGCAAATTCCGGATTTGTCGTAGAACAGTACGGAATGAAAGACCGTCCCTTTTTATTAATTTTTTTTTTGCCCGGCTGCTCTAGGAGAAAAAAATACCCGCAGCTCATTAAAATTGTTTCCGACATTGGGTATCCGCGAATGTCTCCCCATCCTTATCGTTTACCGTTTCCGCGCGCGCGAGAGCGCTTCTATAAGAATATCCTCTACTTAATAATACGGACATTAAAGAGAACGTTTTCTGTATTTAAATAGCGTTCGGCAAAGAAATCTCTCTCTCTCTCTCTTCTGTTGCGATACTTAAGGGATTATGGCTGCGTTGCGTCGAGAGTATATCCTCGTTTTGATTTACCATCGGAATAATGATTATTTCGTCGCTTGCAACACGGCGGTGAAAAAACTCAATCGGCTTGGCTCGAGTCACGATGCGTGTAACGAATATTTTTGCTCCGCAGTGACAATTTTTTTCTTTTTTTAAAAACAAAAAGTCAACGTTTTTCTGGTCAACGGTAAATACCGATGAGAAAGAATTAATTGCGCTAGTCCCGGAAAAAAAAAATCCTTAAATTCTTAAATTCAGAATATATAATTAATATTCTTCGTTAAATTATATGATTCCATCTGTTGGAAGTATATTTGTCCCACTATTACAAATACAAAACACGCGAGTTCACCTGCGACAGCAGGTTTCGCGTAAAACGCTATCGTCAGTAATCGCTAACGATAGGGACGAATTTTGGATAAAATACTGCGACAGTATCACAAGTGCGAAGGAACGCGAAAGACGACGCGAATTTACATCTATATTTTCAACAAAAAAAAAAATTATTCTTAAAGGTATACGTGTAGAATATGTACGATGTGAACGTATAGCCAGCGTGTGTATATACGGGCGAGAGAGAATTCGAGCCTGCCGAAAACGGAGCTGTGAGCTGCGAAGGAACTGTAGCTCGCGAACCAAGTTTCCTGATGAAACTAAGCCCCCGCGCCCGTCGAGTCAACGTCCGTCACACACGAGTCGCGCAAAGTGTATAAATCTTCTCTTAATATAACGCTTAATTTGTAACAATTAATTCGATTGCAATACGATAATCAAGGCCGTCGAAGCTGACAGTAGACGCGATATCAAGTGAATTCTCCTTATCAAACATATAGTCTCTCTCTTTTTTTTAACGCTATACACGATTATCCATTATAATTTGCTTTTCCCGATGGTGTCGGTGTACAAATGTCACGTAACAAACTTTACATATATTTAAGACTGGGTCCCCGTGAACATTAGTTGAAAGGTAAACCAAGTTTCAAACGATCTCTATTTTCATGCGTAAAAAGAAAGCCTAAGTGAGCTCGATCAAACCTCCCTCGAATGCGACTAATTTTCACGGGGACGGCACATAGAAATATAAATATACAAATCTCGCGATAAAGCAGCTCCTCTCCGTCGAAAGCGTTTCCGTTCGGAAATCACGTAATGAGCGACATACCGCACGGCGATCACTACGCGATTTAGCGCTCTGCTGGAAGCGGAGGAACGAAAGATCAGCTGTCAACGCATAATCGAACTTTTAAGAAAGAAGCCAATTTTGCGTATACCTAATATTGTTATGGGGCTGCTGCAACGAGTGTAGCTGTTACCGTCAAAACCTATGACAGTTAAAACTCGATTTCACTAGTTAAAGTTAGTTTTAAATTTAATTAAAACAAAGTCTATAATTGTATCACATGGGTTTTCGACTTTCCACGCGTAGTGAGATCCAATCTTCCTCCCATTTACGGGACAAAACGAGGTCTATAATTATACTGTCCACAAAGATTTTCGATTTTACGTCTAATCATTCTGTTTTTAATTTCTGTCATCAATTATTCTAGTTTTAATTAGTGAATTCGGGTTTTAATGGATTTAATGGGTTTTGACGGTAACATAACGACTTAAACTTACTTAAATGGACAAGCTCTCTTAAAAAATAAGTGTAGTCACTGTACAAAACTACAGTTTCAATCTCGCACATGTCTCGCCGTCGAAAATTACGGACGTGCACTCGATTCTCTTTTTTTTTTCTTCCCTTCAGTCAAAATGTAACAACGTCTCGCTCGAATATTGTCACTCTTCGTTTTGATTATAGTACGAGCTCTCATTTTACTCTTTCCGAGGATTAATAAAAATATAGATACGAGATGTTCCGAAAAAATTCCAACCTTAATCTTAAAAAATTCGTTCGCTGAACAAAAAGGATCTGTCGGTCAAAGATTTGTTGAAATTTAGGCCGGGCGTTCCAGGGCACACATATTGTATACACGAGCACAAGCCGTGTTTTTCGCCATCGCGATTTTTTTTTTAACGCGCACGATCGACGATGCGTTTAGGAACAAAAACGGCACAATAGACGTTCCATCGCGTGTGGACACACCGAAAATGATGTTTACAATAATTCGAAGATCCAAACCGCCTTTCCCGCCCCCCCCCCCTCCAATTCGTACTCACGCAGTGTATCCCAGGTACATATATTCGATAAAGACGCAAAATGATTCGTTTTAAAAAATACACATGACACTATACAAAAGTCGCGGTCTCAATCTCGAATCTTCGTTCGTCAAACGTATGGCTCGTAGGAACATCCAATTGTGTGGAGGGTTCTCACGCGCCGGGCGGCGCGATTATCGCGCGCGGGTCTCGTCCTCGCGCGCGTCAACCGTGATCTTCATGCGTTTCGGCCGGCTGCGCCTCGCCTTGGTCGCCTTACTCGCGGCTCGGCTGACAATCGGCTTCCGTTTCGCGGTCTTGCGCGCACCCGCGGCGCTCGTCCTGTCCCGTGCCGTCCGCGCCGCGCCGGTCTCGAGCGCGTTCACGTTGTTCACGCTCCCCCCCTCGCCCTCGACGATCTTCCTCGAGCGTCTGGTGCGCCCTATTCGCTCCATCTCGTCGTACTCGGCCTGCAGGCGACGCGCCAGCTCGAAGTCCGCCTGCTCCTGCAGCAGCAGCCGCTCGATTCGCTGCTGCTCCTCGACCACCTCGTCGTCGTCCGAGAGGAACTTGCCGACGCAGGTGTCGGCCGTACGCTCGCCTTCCGGGACGCTACTCTCCTCCGTCTCGTCGCAAGACTCCGGCGGCGAGTCGTAATTGTACTTGCCGCTGTTCCTGTTACGCGCGCCGTCCGACTCGCCCGCCGTGACGGACGAGAGCCTCGTCGAGTTTCGCGCGGATTTCCTCACGCCGGACACGGTGTCAGTCGCGAGCTCGCTCTTCTCCAGATCCTCCGTACTGTTCTGAGAATTTTTACTCACTTTTCGCCGTTTCGTCCTCCTCGTGGAATTCCCGTCGTCTATACTCTCCTGGGACGTCGAGAACGTGGCTTCATCCACCGCGGGACTCTCATCCGTCCTCGCGGGTAACGCTTTCTTCTTCGTTGCCGCTCTGCTTCTTTTGGACGCGCTGAACTCCACCCCGGGAACTTCCAACGTCTTCTCCGGACTCTTCTTTTCCGCGTTTTCTTTCCTCCTTTTAATTCGCTCGGCTATATTTTCGACGGCCACGTCATCGTTGCCGTTCTGCTTGCCGCCAGCTTGCGGGCTTGCTTTACCGAACGACGAATTGGAGCCGGTCGGATCGCCCTCCTGCTTCTCCTCTTCGTCTATCACATTCACAATGATTTCCTTTCTACTGCTCCGCAGATTTCTGTGTCGCTTAGATTTCGCCACCATACCGTTTCGTATGCTCGGTCTCCAGGACTTGCGTGCTTTCCTCGCGTCCCATTCGTCGTCCAACTTCTTGCTCACCTTAGTGCCATTGATTATTCTGTTCGCATTCTTCGTATAATTTTTGTTGCTATCGAACGACGATTCGGATATAGAATCGACTGCGTCATTTGTCTGTGCCTTCGTCGTCGACTTATTCGACATCGTTTGAGAATGAATGAGTGACGTCGATGGTTTCTGATCAATCGGCGTCCCCGTGTTATCCTTCAAACTGTGCGTAACGTGCTTTTCCTTTGCGTCCTGTCTTATTTTACCTGTAACAGCACCTTGCAATTTAATTTTAAAAAAACTAGAACTATATCTTCACGCGATTTTAATAAAAAATCTAATTGGTCGTACAATCATATCTATAATATATATATATTTGCATGAACAGGCATCCATAATTTACCTCTGAAGGCGCTCCAAGAGCATCCGATACGTTTCACGTATGTCGGCGATGGAGCTTTTGGCACTGCGTTAGACACCTTCTTCAAAATAGGGATCACCCTAATCAACTTCGGATCTATTTGTTTTCCATCTAGGAGCAGATACACGAAAGTAAGATTATTTTATTTTTTTATATTTGAGATAACTATAACCAATTTATACACGATTATCTAACGATTCATCTGTCTAATAGTTACACACGTGTAAGAAGATTATTAATAAATAGGATCCCTTATTGTTTCTATAAAAAGGTTGTTAAAAAATTTACAACGAATTATTATACCAAGTTGTAATTATATTGAATTATAAGTGTCTCATGAATTATGAATTATAACTGTTTCTCTCCTTCTTTCTGACAGATAGACATACCTGAAGAAATTTGCAATTTCGTCCTCGGCGCCGTCTTGATCGGTTTAAAGTGATGGATCTCCTGATTTATGCTGTCGTGACTGCCGGAGCTCTCGGCGCTCCCTATCCTCTTGTCGTCGTCGGCCAGCGTCATGCACACCTCCACCCCGAGACTCTTCTTCTTGCTGTTCACCACGTCGCTCGGTACCCGCAACTCCTCCTTCGTCTCCGTCGCGGGAGCTCTGGACGTGGAGCATCCGGGAGCATCCATTGAGTAATTCGAGGCGTAGGGTTGGGTGAACTTCGAGACCGTCTGATGCCTCTTCACGACGGCGTTGTGAACGGGCTTCTGGCAGCAGTACGGATTGTTATGGACGCCGGACGCGTTCGCCTCCTTAGAGCCGTGCACGGAGTACATCTTGGACAGCAGCGCGTTCATCCTCGTTTTCGAGTTGTCTCTGACCGCCTCGGGAAGACCCATGTGCCTGCCCTCCAGGCACGCGGTTTCGGCCAGTGGCGCTTCGGCGTGGTTTACACGCACCGGCGCGTAGTTGAACTTGGACTCGTTGAAAACACCGTAACCCGGCACGGACGCGCCCATGCATTCGTTGTAACACTTCGCAGCCTCCTTCTGCTGCTGCTTCGCCAGGGTCTTGGCCAGCAGCTGGTCCTGCGCCAGCTGCGCCAGCAGCAGCTGATCCTCCACCTGAATCTTCTGGATCAAGGCCTCGCTGGCCATTTGCTCGGCCTGCCTCTGACGACGCATCTCTTCCTCGGCCATTTGTAGTTGAGCCTTGTACTCCCGGTGTATCTCTCCGGCCGCGCTGAGTATTCTGTTCGCCGCATAATCTGCACGAGAAGGAAAACGCACTTCAGTAGTATCTCATGAGAAAATCATGCTCGATACACAAAGTACCACATGTATTCTTCAATCATCATCATTTTGTTCTCCATACGTATACCATACAATTGAGATGTAATCACGGCGCTTATTAATGCCCGTATTAAGCTGAAAATCGCTTCTGCGGGAACAAAGTAAGTCGACGCTGCGGACTAAAGAAACGACAACGCCGACAGCAGTCGAGATTACATAACCCACAGAGGTATCTTATCGGAAGCGTGCGAAATGTCATTCAATAAGTAAACATAATGGCTTAGGTTATGTTATTTGTTTATTGCTGGCCACGCACAAGAGGATATGTGCATGTGCGTGCGCGCGTATGCGCGCGGGTGCGGACGTACGCGAGCGTGTGTTGCGTGTACGTGTGTATACGAGCGCGTATACATGCGCGTCACTCACCAGCGTCCAAGCCGAGGTCCCCCTCCTCCTCGCCATTGTGCTTGCTCTCGACCTCCTTCGGGAACTTGGACCTGATGAGCTCCCAGAGGCCGTGGTTCACCAGGGTCTCGGACTTGGTGGCGGTGCGCAGCCAGGAGCCCACCCGCACCCGGCACAGCGGGCAGCTCAGGCTGTTGTGCTCGAACGTGCCCTGCAGGCAGCGCAGGCAGAGGTTATGTGTGCACGGCAGCGTCACTGGCTCGATCAGGATGCCGCGGCATATCGGGCACGTCAGGTCGCGCAGATGCACGTCCGCGGTACGCGACACCGTGAGGTCCAGCAGCTTCGACGTGCGCTTCAAATACATTTTCCCATATTCGTACGACACCACAGCTATGACGGCTTGCCGAAATACTGACCGCTGGTGGCCCCCGCTGGGGCCGCTGCTGGCTGGCTGATGGCTCGCTTGCACTGCGCCTGTCTACACCAGCGCCTGCCATCGGGGATGTCACGCAGCATCGCTGTCATCTGTCGTTCCGAACCGATAGGGCAGTGCTCTTTCCCGTCTGTTCCCGTCTATGAACTCGAAAGCTTTTTTTTTTTATATAAAAAAAACATCACGAAGATATCCAATTAAAATTAGTTAAATTCTTACCTTCTTAAAATATTCATGGAATCTTTTTCCTCTTTCTCGCATTATTTAAAAATATTTAAGCCACATTGAAAAAATCATCATATTAAAAAAAATAGATGTATGTAAGAAAGACAAAACTGTGCATCTCGTTCATTTAATACAATTATTATTTAACAAGATAGTCAATAAATTTTTAAACAATTGCGTTACATATTCCATCTCCTGGAAAAAAATAGATCATAGACGCAAATAAGAAATTGATTGCGTGTCGCACGATTGAGAATAGAATTAAAAATAGAAATTCGACAGTATATAAGATTGCATGTGGAAACATCTTTAAAAAGTGACATCTCAAAAATTTGTTTTTTTCTTGATCTACGGTTCATCTTCCTTGGAATAGCAATTTTAAAGAAATAATTATTCGCAGAGCACTGTAATAACGAGACTCTTTCCATCGAAATATATATTGTATATATTAAAAAATAGTAAAACTTATATTTAGGTGTAACAATATAGTAATTCCGTAATAAGATATGTATATATTTTTACGTGGCATAATTCTTGTAACGCATTAGTGGTCCGGAGTATTATCTCGTGCATTATATCTATGTACTTTTTTTACCTTGTAACTTAACGCTATCGTAATAAGTTTGTCTTTAATCTATTTGAATGTTCTATTCCAAGGATAATTCAGGATAACAAGCAAGACCGATCCAAGTTTTGATCGATCATCTGTCGTTGGAGCTCAGCGCTTTCTCTCTTCGATCTCTTCCCCGTCTGAATCAGCAAGGCGGAGGAAAGATCGAAGGTCTGGAAAATCTTGAATGGGTCTATGTACATTTTAACCGATTCTAAATTCATCGAAAGAAATCAGTGCGCAAAAAAATTTATAAAGAATTTTAAATAACAGCAAATAGGGGGATAAAATCGTATAAATTTCTCTTAATTAGATTGTAAATGACGCGCGTTTGCATGCGTTGGAAAACGTACGGCAACGCGCATAAAAAGACAACGTACCAAAGTGCACGCGTTAATATTCTGCGATTCTGTATGAATGTAACATTTCATCCGTATAATTTATATGAAAGCGATAAAATGGAAAAAAATTTATGTTAATTAAAAACATCCGCTGGCGTAGCGAATATCATACATGCCTGTATCTGTCATGAAACATTTAAAATCCGTTTTTCGTCTGTGCCAAAATGTCAAGTAACGGGATACTTCAGCGTTCTGCACGACGCGACTTTTAATCGTTATGGAAGCTTCACATTTCTCTTTTTTTTTTTGACATTTTAAGAATGCGTTTTTGTACACTTTAGTTGAACATTCTGTCCGTGACATATAGGCGAATAAAATCGAATGTCCAATCAGCCCCTTTGCGGGTTTGCTGATTTCTCGAATTTATTGAGCGTCTATTTTGCCTTGGCTGAAGGACGATTTCTCAGATGATTCTTCTTCGTCGCCTGGTCCACTTCTGGGAGATCGTCGTCCTCGGACACGGCTGATTTCTTGCCTGCGAACATACGATACACGTGCACTTTATTTCAATGAAATATAAATTCTGACGTAGATGGATAAAAATAAAACCGACAGTAAAGCGATAATAAGAAACGGAGAATCGTTCTCACCGTCTCGCTTCTTCAGCTTCTGCTTCGGCTTCGTCTTCACGACAACGGGCGCGGCGTTCTCGCGTGCACGCTTGATCTGCTTCGCAACGAAGACGTAAAGAAGGTAGCCTTGGAAGAGCGAGATAATCGACGCTGCCGAGAACTGCACAGCGGGATTATTGAAGTTGCCGGTGGCGTAGTCGAACTTGTACTCCTGCTTCCTCAAACCGTACAGGAACACCACGCACGTGAGTGCGATGGTTGCGATACGCGCGAACGCGTAAATCGAATTGGCAATCAGGAATGACACTGTAACAAATGTCAGACAAATATATTAATTATGCAATGTACGTTAACGCAATACACGTATGCCATACGATACGCTTGTGACACAGTAATTCAATTACTGATTAAGGCAGCTTACATTTCGTCCTCTTCTCTTTTTGACTGATAAAGTGAATCAGTCTGGCTGTGTGTAGCAGGATATCTCCCACATAGTGGACAGTTAACAAGATTAGGGCGAGATGTTGGAAGCTGTGAAGAATAATAAATACAAATTTTAGCACACAAACAGGCGAAAATTGAAAGTAAACGTCTATGTGTTATAATGTTACTTGAAGAAGTAAGCTGCGAATGTGAAGACTAATCCAACAGTTGCGTGGACAACGCGCTGCAGAATGTCCTCTTTCTTAATTCGTTGAAAGTAGAGCTCGGGATAACAGTGCAACCAGTAAGAGAGCTGGCTGATAAAGAATACCTTTAGGGTGGCGGACATCGGCGCCGGGTATTCCTCCCACAGTGTCCATATGTTCAAAAGTATATTTTCCCTGAAAGGAAAAAAAAACGTTATTCTGTCAATACTTACTTTCTCCCTTGCATTTCTCTTTATTATTTAATTATTAAAATCTGCATCACCTGATTATAATATCAATCGCCCACAATGCGGACAATGTATAAAATACTATCAACTGGCTGGACTCGTTAAACTTAGAAAGCTTTACTTTGCTGAGATGAAGTCGCTTGGAAATTTTCTGTGGACAAAAGTGATCGACAAGTGGAAATGAAGTATATAATTTTCTCCGTAGTCAGCTAATATTTAGTAGCCAGGGGAAGGTGTACACTTACATCAAATATATATTCCTGGAGCACAGCGTGCATTATAATGATTATCAAAAAGTAAAAGAATACTGCACATGCATCTTTCCATCCTGTAGCGTATTTCACCACTGTCATTGGTTCCTCGATAGTATTGGTCACATTATGGTGAATAGCAATAAACATGTAGGCCCATGGTGACGTAACCTGGTGGAAAATAACTACGTTATAAACGAATGGCTAGGCAAAAATACTTGTGTACACGCACACAGCTGCAATATAATTAGATATTTCAAAATAAATTCTAACGATCAGTAGACGCTCTTTTTTGTTCTTTTCTAAGATCGCTATAAAAAAAATTATAATAGAGCTGCAAATTTATAAATATAATACCGAATACAACATGATTATGTATAAGATATATCTATGACAATTAATATGTTCACGAATGTAATGAGGGCTCAAAAGTGAAAGACAAATCTTCGCAGATGTGACAGATAAAGATGCATGCGTATGTGTGACAAGTCCGACTTGTCTCGACGTCAACAACTCGTAACATATGGTCATCCTACTCCTCCAAATTTCCACGCGATCGACGGAGGTCTCGCGGGAGAAATTCGTGCAAGCGCGACTCATCCGTTTCGCCAAGAGTGAACGTAAATCGAAACGGATGTACATAAATTCTAACGGGTAGGAAGACCGGAGGAGCAAAAACGCCGGGGGAGCGCACGCGGCCGCCCAGGCACACCGACCTGCACCATGAGGCCGATCACGAAGACCATAGCCACGCAGGAGACGATGTCCGCATGGTTCTGTATGACGAACTCGTGGCTGAGGATCGGCGGGTTCTTGCTCGAGCTCTTGCGTCCCTTCACCGTAACCATCTTGGCCGACGAGAGCGTGCGTGTTCACTGCGTGGCGTACGCGGCACGACAGACGGGACCGGAGGACGGGCAGGCGACCCCAACCACCCAACCGCGAGAGAGAACCGGGCCACCACGGCGCGGCGTTTCACCGCGCGGAAACGTCATGCGCGTGTATACACGCCACGCACGCGGCGGCGGCCAACGCCGAGCAATGTGGCGCCAGCGGCGCTCCGCTCCCCGAACCCGTTGGCACCGCGCGCGTCATATTGACTGCTGCTTGCGCATCCACGTCTCCGGAACATTTTCTACGCATGTCGCAATCGCGCACGGAGATTTGTGTGTATTTTTATTTCGGTTTCTTAGTAAATACCGAGCCAGGCGCAGCAAAGTGAAGAAAACTACGAGGAAAGAACGAGGAAGATTTTGATTCAAATACTCGCTTGACTCGTAGCGCGACGTACTCAGCGCGGATTTGAATTGAAAAAAAAAAAAAAAATACGTGTTGTATATTTAACGAATGATATTCTCGCAAACTGAGGGTAGTTAAAAAATTAAAAGAGAAAAAGCAGTGATTGTACTTTAAAGCGTCGATGTCATTGTAGTTTGCATCGTATTATATTTGTTGAAAAAACAAAGTGTTGCTTTGATTACACAATCTATTCTACACGATGTATAATTAAAATTCTTTACATTATCATATGTTTTAATATCCGATAAAAAAAGTTAAAAGTTGTATTTCAAGACAGTGCGCACGTACGTTATTCTGTACATAAAAATTAACAGAAAATTTGAACTTTTATTCGTAAATTACATATACATAATTTTTATTTTAATAAAAATTGTCGAACTTAATAGCTATCTAAACGTCAAATGGATCATAGAATGAAATAGGAAATATATCAACTTTACACTGTAAATGGAGTTAAACATGAACATTTTCTCGTGCACAAAAATACGAATAATTGATTATATAATTGAAACAGAGAAAAATATATGTAGATATAGATGTATGCATAAAAGAACAAAATAGAGGATGGAGACATATGTAGATGAGACAGCTTACATCTCTCAAATCCTTTAAAGATTGTGAAATTTGCATTATTATATATTAATTTTTTGTCGAAATGTTTTCTTATTAATTTCTTATCTAATTTTGAAAGTCTAAAATCATGAGAGAACAATGTAAAAAGAAAAATTTAAATGTACAGAATATATTGTGGTGTTTAATAATATTTTATATTATTTTACAAAAATATATATTCAGGTGATATATTTGGATAACGTTTAGAAGATATAGGTGGTTTATTTCACAACATAGATACAATATCGTGCAGCGTAATATATAGCAGTTTCTCCTAAATTCAGACGTTTCGTCGCAACAATCGATTTGCGGGGACGTTCCAAATTGTTGGCGAATTACAATTTTATATTTACTGCACTGTCGAGAGCACGCAGTGACGTCGAGAATTCAATGTCGGAAGAAAAATAAATACGGTAACTCTAATACTATACATATATATGCTGCGGGCAGGATGTAAATTCATTGATCAACAATGAGTCAAAAATATATCTCTGAAAATCTTAAAAATAATATATCTCATTTTCTTATTGCGCTAGTGACGGGCAGCTAACAGTTCGACATTACGCAAGTGCTATTTGTACATTTTTGTGTACACAACTAGGATAGTGTAGTGTGTGATATACAGCGCTCGGTAATTATATATACATATATTTCGATCAATTCACGCGAATCAAACAAATATTAAATGATATCAAACATGATTTATTTACCAACAAAAGCTCGATATATATCCAATTTATATCAAACATTAATTTAATCAGGTGAAGTTAACTTACACATTAAAATAAAAATTTTTTAAATAAAAATTAATATTCTTAATTATAATTTATAATATACTTGTCCCGAAGTAAAAGCCTCTCGAAACGTATGAACAATGTAATAAACACACCAATTACAAAATTACAATTACGACTTACGATTTTATGCACAGATAATTAACGAGAGCCTTCGTATCTCCGTCGCGCTTGGTTTCAACAATTTAGCCTCTTGGTACGATATTAAATAAAAGAGGTTTCTACGTGATCGTTTGAACAAGTGTCATTAGCGATATTATTCTGTTGCTTTTCAACAAGAGCTATTTTATATCTGCCGTATACTAGTAGACACCATATACTTCGGAACGACTTTAAACAAGCGATTTGTCAAATAATTTATATATATTTATATATATATATATATTTATGTATACTTTTTTACGTTATTACTCTAATTCGAGTAAACCGTAATGTATGCGCACATTATTGTACTTTCAAAGTTTTACCATTTTCGTTTTCGCATGCATTAAACGCTATCTACTAAAGCCAATCTTAAGTGTTGCCTTGCGTGCTAATCAGCATTCGAACGAAGATCGTTGAGCGCTCCACGATTCTTAAGACTGTGTTAACTACGTTGAAAAAAATTATAATATACGCTCATCGCACACAAGCTTTTTCCACCCTACGTGTTATTCCGGTTAAAATCACGAGTCGGTGATTTTATTCTGACACTCAAATCAACCCACACGAACACGAGTAAGAGTTTCCACAAGACAAGATAATTTTCGATGGTACCAGAATGTAATGATCTGGTTCTAAAATCTCATGAGAACACGAACGCTATCTTATACGCCGAAAACAATTATGAGATTAATACTTGCACGACTTTCTCGAAAGTTAAATATACGAGTATAGAGAGAGATAGAGAGAGAGAGAGAGATAGAGAGAGAGAGTAAGAGAGAAAAAGAATTAAATCTAAATACTTTTGTGGTCACAAGCCTTAAATTTTAGCAAAAATTTTTTTAAATGTTACATGCAACTAACGCGCCGACTCAGGTCAAATTTTTTTTCCTACGAGTCGTTCGTTTCACCGTTGCAAAATTATGTTTTGAGGTAGACAGGTATATTCTCCAATAGCCTTTTATAGCTTCGAGTAACGCTAAACCGAAAGATAAAACACTTTCACCGACGCAAAATGCCGCATTACTTTTTAATCCTATGCCTTAGTAGACCACAAATACGGTTCAGAATGTTTTAACCTGTGAAACTCTTGTAATTTTCTCTCAATCTGATTTACTTCTCGATCCGTGCTACAACTGAAAAAAAAAAAAAAAATTAAACTAAACTCGGTTGTATTAAAGAATCAAGCGAACGCGGAATATCGAAACGGGATGTTTGAGGCTGTTAGTCTTCAACTCACAAAGTATCCGTAATGTCCAAAGCATCAAAAATGCACAAATAATATCACCATTTGCTAATGACGCCAATAAACGTTTCAGTGAATCGTTTCCGTTGCTGAATACGTGATAATTAAATATATATATGTATATACGTGCGAAAATTGTGTGCATTAGGTTCGAGTAGCATATCAAATGTAAGTTTTGCACGTCTCCAATTTAGTCCATTTTAGTGTTTCTACGATATCTTGTAAAAATGATTTCTCTGCCCCATTATTATAATTTCTTTTTTTTAGCGCTTGAACTTGGTACATCTTACTACACTAGATTTCGCATATACCGATTCTAATTTATCTTCAATACTATACATCAATGTACGCACAATGCGAATTTATAACATTACTGCAAGATACTGCAACAATACCGTAATCCGTGCCTCGTTGGCCTTTATCGACACCAGCTGCACCGACAGGTATTACACGTTATAAAAGGTATTATTACTTGATACCTTTGCTTGCTTCAGGTACTACCTTTGTACCAGTTTCTTACCTGAGCTCGTTCAAGATACGAACAAGACATTCGAAAAGAAAATAAAAGAATGTTCCCCCCTCCCCACCCCTGCCCTGTATATATATTCGCAATGACATCTGCTAGTTGCCCGAATTATATGTACATACATTGAAAATTCGCGTACAGATCTTAAATAAATAATGATCACTAATATACACAGTTGAATTTTTCAGATGCAATAATTCAATAAACACACATAAGATTCCGTTTCTCGTCGAGCAGAAGTAAAATTATCATAATATATATTTATACAATACTGCGATACTTTTAATAAACGGCGCCTACACTATCCACGCGACATCCGCTTTGCATTGTCTACCGCGCGGCGCTCTTTAAGGGGTTTAATCTCACAGGGTTTACACGAGAGGCGGATCCTTCTGTTCGTCCATCTCCTCGACGGTTATGTAGAGACCCTCCTCTTCGTACGTCGACTCGTGCTTCGCCAGTACTTTCAGCAACGGGCGCAGCTTCATCCACCACTGATATGTCGGAATGCGATGCCTAGCGATAAACGGCAAGATGCGTTAGGCACGAGCGAAATTATAACACGACTCGTTAGAAGGGCTCAATGGGCAAATACGCACTCAAAATCGGTAACCTCGATGAGCTCCGTGAATGGCGTGTATCGGTACTGGCGTCTGACAATACCGAGCATCACCGCGCTGTCCGCCGCCGTAGTGAACGTTTTGCCATCCGGGCTGGTGCACTTTCGCAGCTGGTCACTGAACCACTCCACCGCCTTGGCGCCCATCTTCGTACCCAAGTTACGGTCGAACGGCGTCGGCGAGCCACCTTGCTGCATGTGACCTGAAGGTGAAAAAAATATTTAGCGTGAAATTGAAAGTCGCTTGAACGAGCAGCGAGTGAAATAAGCGTACCGAGTATGTTTCTCCTACAACTGAATAGACCTTTTCCCTCCTCGCTGAAAAGTCTGAACATAAATTCCGTATTGTAATTCTCATTGGCATTCTCGTTTCTGATAATAAGGCCCCTCTCCACGCCTTCCGACATCTTTGCCGCCATCGCGATCACATCTTGGTTCAAATCCTTGATATTGAATTTCTCCTCGTATATGTACGCCGCGTCGGCACCACCGGCTAGACCGGCGATGGTCGCCAGGTACCCGCAGAAACCGCCCATCGTCTCGATGATGAACACGCGACGTTTAGTACCTTGCGCCGATTGCCGAATGCGATCACAGATCTAACGACGACATAGACGATTAGCATGCTATTCAATCCTAAATCCCCAGGTCGAATCAGTCGTCACCGAGAGAGAGAGCAGCTCACCTCCGTAATTTCATTTGAAGCCGTGTCGCAGCCCAATGAAAACTCGGTGCCCGGCACATTGTTGCTAATAGTCGCGGGAATCATAGCGATAGGAATTCTGAACTCCTCGTACTTATCCCTCGCCTTGAAAAATGTGAGACAGGTCTGATAACCCTGCGGAAATAAAAATATACGTTTTTTTTAACGACACTGCGATCCCCGGATGGGATTCAATGTGTGAGATCTCCGGCGAATTCTCGTTACCTCGAATCCACCTATGACAAGCAACGCTTGTATTCCAAACTCTTTGAGCTTCTGAGCGATTTGGGGCAACTGATCCTCCGTGGGCGGTGCGCGCTTCGTTCCCAATTTCGCGCCACCCTCCGAGACCCAGCCGGTGACGGACGGCCAGTCCATCAATTTCAGCCTACCAGCTATTAGGCCCAGCACTCCGTCGCCGACGCCGTATACCTGCAAGTCGCGACGTGGAATTGAGGGTAACAAAAATATCGTGATAAAACATTCAGAATTTCTCGATATATATATATTATACCTTGTCACCTCGGTAGATACAATTCCTCACGAAGGAACGAACTGCCGCGTTCATACCGCAGGACGGCGATCCTATATGCATGACAGCCAACGTATAATTATCCTAAAAACAATGAAACAACCGATTACGAGGTGAAAGCAGACGCGGTGCTCATGCAACGTGCACGGTAAAGCTGAAAGACCGCATTTCATGTATGAAGTCGCACATTAAATAGCGCACAATGCTTTCGTTCCGTCTGCCTGCGGTGGTGATGATCGAAGTGAAGTACGGTAAATGATATGCATTTCTAACACAAGGCACACATTCTCTACTCCAAAAGGGTTAACTCACTTGTCCACATAAAGTGTATTGCTATAGGAGGGAAAAACAAAATGTGCTGTCGTTAGGGAGATTGCGCTCGGTGTCGGGGATTATGTACAACAAATCTGAGAATGTATGCTTATAGGCTTTTTAAACTCATTTACCTTCGAGAACACGCGGCCGTTAAATTCCTGAAGCAGTATCAAACAACATATGTAGTAATCTATGCATTATTCGTTGTTATTTTGTATGTCAGAGACCCAAAATTCTCTCTCTCTCTCTCTTTCTCGCGCGATAGTACTTCTATCTTACTCCTATTTCTATCTACTTCTTCGACAATGTTAATGCTATATTAATACCGCGTTAAATATAGAGCTTTTCGGGTCGACAGAATAAACGTAAACAGAAAATAATTGTACCCTGTTAGCAGCATCTATCAGGTGCGGCGCTTTCAAACGAGTCAGCGTTTTGTACGTTTCCAAGTTGCGCTCGAAGCCCCTGGGAAAGATAAACAGATGCATTTTACTGATGCACTTATACTACTTCGCGTATTGTACACAGCGACGTGCTTTCGTCGATTCACTTACTTTCCTCGAAGCTGAACAGCGAGATCCCAGTTTTTATCGGCCATGGCTTGTGCTACGGCTTTCGTACGACGAACACATTCCATAAGTGGTAGTCTTACAGCTTGATTACCGTCCAACGTGACGACGCAGGCCTCCGTGTCGGGTGTTGCCTCCATCAAAGCCATCACGGCTTCAGCTCCCATCCGGCATCCCTGTAACGCACATTTTGTCCCTTAAAAGTGTGATATACATATTGTATTTTTTAACATTGCATATGAGATAAATACATTAAATGAGAAGGCTTCACGAGTTGCGTATTAAAAAAAAATTATGCATACACTTATTATATCTCGATTTTGAAAATTCTAAATTGCGACATCTTACCAAAACTCTATCAAAGGCTGAAGGATTGCCACCTCTTTGTACGTGACCCAAAACAGTGATTCTTGTATCCTGCTGCAATTTATCTACAACGACCTTGTGCACCTTTTCAGCGGTGATCGGATCGCCGTTTCTGTCGACAGCTCCCTCGGCCACGATGATAATATTGAGCCGTTGACCAGTAAGCCTTTCCTGGAAAGCAAGTTGTATAATAATGAAAATCCTCCGGCAAAAATTTCATGGCAAAATTTAAGTTTTGCACGAATAAATCTAAAAGCAGGCTAATAAAAGAATAGACAAGAAAACAGCGTAATAGCGATGCGTTAAATAATTACATAGATTATCAACAGAATAATAAGATATTATATACAAAAAGAAGATATTATATACATATATTTAAAGTGTAGAATAGAATTATGTTAACAGTACTTTATGTACTTTTTTTATGTTAGAATAATGTTGCATACACACACAAATCATGTTATAAATTTAGTATAGCATGCACATTTGACACTGTGTGTTTATTAAATATTACTTCTTTCCTATACGAGAAAAGAAATTGCCTTCAAAGCGTTTCGCCCCAAAGTAATCAAATCAGAATAAGCAATTAAAATAAATTGTAACAATTTGCGATATCAAAAGAACAAAGCGTGAATTGCAGAAAGCAATGTGCAATTCATCTTGCAGGTTGAATCAGGAAATCAGGAAAGATAAATATACTATGGTTTAAAAAAAAAAATTTAAAAAAAAGTATTATCGAACCTGCAACAATTTTTTACACAGCTTGTTGGGCCAATCCTGCTCGGGTGGCCATTCTGGGATGAAAACATAATCAGCCTCGCAACAAATAGCTGCCACCAGAGCCAGATAACTGTAATGGCATATTGTAAACCTAACTAAAATTCCAAATTCCAAACGTAATATGTAAAAATATTATATAAAATAATGTTGCGCGTCATTAATCAATCATGAATCACGTTTGATTATGAATTCGTAAGGCTATGCTTGATCGAAAAATGTAGAAATTAATGTATCTGCGATAAAATTTCACGTAAGTACGGGGTGAAAAAATTTTACACGTACAAAATGTAATCTGGCCGTAATTGAATTGATTGTCTCAAAGAAGTTATTTAAAAGCATTTACAAGTATATAAAAACAAACGCGTTCGGACTTTCTCACATATCTTTGAATTGCTGATTAAATCGCTTATTCCGACATTTAAGTAATTTTAAGTAACGACTGGCTGAGAAACGTGCCTGTTGCACACCTTGGCATAGCTCCTCGCCCCAGTCACCACTTGTCGGAGATTCAGGGATAAAGCAATAGGTGGCATCGGTAGACAAACTTGACGCTAATGTCAGGTACCTGAAAGGCTCTGTTCATCTAAATTATCTTTAGCACTGTCGCACATATCGCTATGCTTATACATCTGACTCTATGTTAATTAATGCGCGACGACATAAAGTATGTAAGTACATTTTTCGTTCCTCCTCGCGTCACTATTCAGAGGAATATATACATTCAGGATGTCGTATATGAATCCAATATTAAATCAGAACACACTCAGCAAATAAGATAAAAAAAACTGACAAATACATAAAAACTCATTCCTCACGTTTAGTCAAGTTAGTAAAAAAAATTAGCGATGCAATCTGACCAAATTTGAGAAAGTCTATCAGACGTGCCTGCTCCAACTTTTTACATAATTTTTCAGGCCAGTCGACAGGAGGCGGACATTCTGGGAAGAAGACATAGTCTGCCTCCGCAGCTAAAGCGCCCACGATAGCCAGATACCTAATCGAAAGTCGCTCGTCTTTATCTATGTTTCACTCTCATAATCAACATCAATTCGACGCGCGATAATCAAACGTTAATCTCGTGTCCTCAATTATTATCGATTGCGGATTACTTCTGTATTCGGAAACTAATGACAATGTATAAAGTCGTTTATCGATAAATCTCTAATTATTCTCGCGATGTCGCGAAATCGATATTACAATCTGCACTTACCCGCAGTGACGACCCATGACTTCCATTATAAACGTTCTTTGATGCGAGTATGCTGTGCTAACGATAGCATCGATACTCTCAATGATACGATGCAATGCGGAATCGGTACCGATCGTCATATCCGTACCGCAGAAATCGTTATCAATTGAACCTACTAGACCGACAATGTGCAACTGCTTGTACTTCTCGCTCTGCTCGGCGGTTATGTCACCTAATAAAAAAAAAATAACGCGTCTATATAATGAGCACGATAGATTGCCTGACAGTTTTCCAAGCTATCCATTTACCAGATTCGACGAGTTCCTTCAGAAGCGCGGGCCACTCCTCCTTGAAGAGATTGGCGCCCGTGAGAGAGCCGTCTCCGCCGATCACCACTAAATTAGTTATCCCCAGGTTGACCAAGTTCTTAGCGGCTTGTCGGCGACCGGGACGGTCCCTGAACTCTTGGCATCGGGCGGAGCCGATTACCGTGCCACCCTGAAGAAGCAAAAAGGATATTAGAAGGTTAATAATAAACGAACGATCGCGCAACGCAACGCTCTCGAGTACTGCAATGCGTACTCTGTGAATGATGCAGGACACGGACGACCACGTAGCCTCCTCGATATGTTTCCCGCCGTCCACCATGCCCTGGTAGCCTTCCCTGATAAAGTACACCCTGCACCCGAGATAGATGCCCATCCTCACGACCGCTCGTACGGCGGCGTTCATTCCTGAAAAACGAAATGTCGAAGGTTAATCGCATTTGCCTCGAGGCGCGATACATAATTTATACGATTATTCCGAGATACCCTGAGAGTCGCCACCGCTGGTGAACACGGCGATGCCTTTGCCCTTGTGGCTGCCAGGTTTGATAAACTTCTGAGCTGGCGCGTCCTCAGCCATGACTGTATCGCAGTATTCCTTATAACTCTGTAATGCAAAAATTCAAGGTTGACAGTGAGAGAAAAGTGTTTGATATTTGAAACTATAATATTGCAAATGGCAAAATAATTATAATTAGGAGTCCCATTTTTACAGTTATTACTCCTACATAATTTTAGTAAAAATAATTACATTTATAGTTCTATCAATCAAATATATATAGCTTCGAAAATGACTATATATTATAGTTCAATTACGGCAATTACAATCATTTTTTTCGGTCAATGGATATTTTGGAGAAGCTACACTCGCCGTTGCTTCTCGATATCTCTCTCTCTCTTATTTTACGCCGTGACGATGACGCGACAATTTCTACTACTTTACTATTATTCTATGTGTTATTTGATAACAAAACAGAGATCGATAAGGAGGCAGGGTCATAACTTTCTGTTTCGTAGATCGTGGGAAACGCAGGCTGCTGGCGTACTCTTGCTCGGCCGTGTCAAATCTTATCTCAAACGAAGAGCCAGTTGGTAAATGTTCAACCGATTCGAAGCTGTGCCCCCAGAACATCTGTCCGAAAGTTAATTTTCTAACAATTATCGCGTGTAGATTTCCACGTGAGAGAAGGGAAAGGAGAGAATTGCGCGTGTGTGGCATTGTTAACAACAAGCATTGTTAACGGGGCGCTTGCCTTCGGGAACAGTAAAGAGAGCTTTAAATTTTGCACGTTGATCCTGCTCATTTTATCGGCATCGACCTTCCTCAGCGCTTCGACAGCGAGGGACTTTTGCGAGGGGTCTCTGGATATCACCGAGGATCCAATCCTAGTAGAATCCGTCAAACTTCCCTTCGCATCTGCATCCCGCATTTCTGCTGCGGTGCCTCCGCGCGTATCGGGCGCGTCGTCGGTGTCGCTATCGCTTTCCGCGTAACCTCCGGAATAAATTGCATTTGCGCAACGACACTGAACGGCCCCGTGACGGCCCTCAGACATTTTTCTCCGCACGATAATTTTTACGTCGATCCAAAATTTTAACCTTACTTCAATCGATTCGAGATACATACATATCGCGGCTGATCTAGTTTCATTTCGTAATAATATAAAAAAAAAAAGATGAAGTGCACTACTGAAGTATGTTTGCGCAGTGAATCATTACATAAAAATCATTCTTTTAAATTTATTACATGTATGTACTCCAGTTTAGTTTACTCTAATACGCGTTTGATAAAAAAAAAACAATATAAGAGAGAGAAATATAGCGAAGTTATAATATTTTAACGAAATAAAAGCGTTTGTACAATTGTGTTACTTTAATTCGCGCATAATAATTCGCGTAAAGGATATATATTAGAATATGCGTAAATTTTGTGGTATTTCGATTGGCAAAAAAAAAAGAAAAAGATCAGAGAGTGGGCTAAATAATACGCTCGAGTGCTACAAGAATTTCATCGGAAACTAAGAAAACCTCGCGCAGGAGGAATAGCGCGATGCACGGCAGAAAAATCCGGATTGAAGCTATCTGGTAGTTGCGACACGCGAGTATACAGTGTTTTAAAATTAAATAACACGTGCACAAACGAAATCTGGCTGCGTTTCAAAGCGAGAGGACGAGACGTCAACATTTCGCGCGGCTGCGAAGTTATCGCTGGGTCGCCAGCCGGAGAGCTTTTTCTGTCCGGCGTGTCGCGTGACCGATTTACATCCGCGTTCGACGCGACAGACGAGGACGCGGAGCTCGTAATTTTCCGTAGTAAATAAAAAAAAAAAAAAGGTAAGACTGCGCGCGATCGCGACGGTTGGAATTTGGAGCGAATCTTGACGACGGGTGTTGCGTTGCTCCGATTTCGCGCTCGCGAGTTTCCTCCTGCGATATATAATGATAAACAGTTGCAACTCGCGTGAAAGATGCAATTGTGTCATCGCGAGATAATATACGCTCCGCGCGCGTCCAACGGCGATGCTGCGACGACAATTAGAGTTTCTGTAGCGACACTCTTAATTAGAACAACACCTGCCGAGCGACGAGTCGAGGCAATTACGATCCGTACAATTCCACGATTCCACGTGCATCCCTCGTGGCAAATATCGCTCGTCGAGTTGTCTCAGCAATCTCATGCATTCACCGAAATTGCGCGTCCATGCCTATTTACAGGCGTCACGTGAATCGTTAGCCGTAACGTTCTCCCGTAACGCGTGTAATCGCGCCTGCCTACTCAGTGGCGGAGCTTAACCTAAAAGCACCCACGGCTCACCTAGAAAAAAAAAGGGGAAATTCGAGCGGCGAGTGAATGTCATCCGCGAACTTTTCGGGTTCGGGTGGCGATGGATCGTTCGAAATACGACGCGGATCAGACTTCGCGACGAGCCGTCGCACTTTGACCGATCAATTGACAGTCGCGTGCAGGTGTCAGGCGTCGGGACGACGACAACGACGACGACGACGGGCGTCGGTGTGCGCCGCGCATTCGAAAGCGACCGATCGATGACGCGCGATCGTCGGCGACGAGCGCAATTCGACTCACCAGAGAAACGCGACTGACGATCGCGACGGCGACGACGATGTTATCCCTCCGACGACACTCCTCTAACAAACACCCACCGCGGCGGCCACGTCCGGCCGACTGAAGGTGACCTTTGGGCTGGCCGCGCGCCACCCCCCACCACGCCGCCACTGTCACCGCCGTCGATCGCGGCGCTTCAAATCGCGAACCGCGCGCGACGCGGAAGATTCGAAAAAATGGAACGAAATAAAGTGCGCACCGAGAGAGAGACTCGCGAGCGTCTCGGAAAAAAAATGAATGAATGGCGAAAATTTGTCCTTTATTTCGGGTTTTATCTGCCGATGAGATGCTGATTTTCAGTCAAGGAATCGTAGAATCGCTATATGGATGATTCTCAACATTTCACATACGCGACGATAATCATTAATTACCGAGACGAATCGATATTATATTTACTGATAACTACATTTATATCGCAGCGTAGAGAGAGATGAGAACTGAGATATAAATTTCATATGCATCCATAATGGATGTCTATATTGCAGTCGATATATTGATATCAAAATGAAAGTTAATGCAATCAATCAATTGTTGACCGCGATACAGACTGAATATTACGAAGACCGATTAAGACGGAAGAGCAGATAAGAACAGGTGACATCGTGCAATAAAACTGCAGATCTCTAGCTATTATACACATTTATTTTTCTATAGTTTTTTCCGTTTATTAAAAAAAAAATTGATAAACTTACCTGATAATCATGATAATCCTCCTGATAATAATCCATTTTCGTCGGGACGTAAATAACACTTAAAAACTATAAACAATTCAAACTTGTCTGTTCGAATGCACAACTAGAACATATCCGTCCATACAAATCTCTCGAAAATGATCATATTCGTTATTAACCGTTCATTCACTGTTTTATGTCATTATATTAAGAATAATATAACTATATATTAAGAAATAATTTTAACAATTATTTTTACTTTGACTGCCGATTCAGCGCGGAAAATAACTTAATTCTTATTATCGCGATTGATCGTCGTCGACGCTCCACTTCGACGGAATCGCCGCTTCTACGTGACGGTCGGAACGCGGGGATCAGCTTAAGTAGCCAGCGCGAGCGCGCGTCTTCCAGGACGGGAAGGCGACGGCCGACTGATATGACGCAATTCGCGATGCTCGTCGCCGTCGACGAGGAAACAGCCTTTACGCGTGACTTGCCGAGCAAAGTCTGGCGGGTACAAAGACCCGCGATACTTGTACCCGTAGCGCTCTGTAAGCGCAGCGACTGAAAATCCACGAGGTCGCCCCGCGAAACACCGCGTTGCAATATGCCGCAATCGCGCGTTACATTTTCGTCGTGTGCAAAGAATAGCGTGAATCATCGCGAGAAAACGACTCGTCTGATCCACTCTCGTTGTTTCCAAGATCAACGATGATCCTCGGATGAATTTTAGATCTTCCAAACGTCGGATCTCTGGATTGGAACGGAGGTAGCCACAATATCGGAGACACATTTCCGATATGTCATTTTAAAATAAAATAAAAAAGACGCGGGATGATCCCATTTTTAATAGCAAGTCCGCTCTAAAGGTCGCCGTATACGAAGCCGCTAATTAAAAGTATTCTGATTTTGACAATATTATATCTGACATACATTCTTATAAAAATACGACACTCTATAGCATCGGATATTTTATCGATCAAGACACTTATTTTTATGTTTTTACGTTTTTCGAATAAAAATTTATATCTTAATGAAATGACATCTTAAAGCCCACGAAAGGGGCTTTAAGATGTCATTTCATGAGACGTTGAAAAGCAGCGTCAGCACGGTCTTAATTTGATGCTCGGCGAGATCGCTTGATTCAAAAATGCTGCATATCGAAGCTGAAGAAGACGTCAAATGACAGCTGAGACAACATCAAAATGACATAAATCCATGACTGATCGAAAAAGTGACTTTTTATGATTTTTTTAGCCATCTTGACGCCATTTCGTTGTCACGTTGACTCTCTTTTTCTGCTTTGATGCACTGCTTTATACATGACATCTACATCCTTTTCATTCATCACTGTCTAACGTCGAGTTTGATCATATAACGTGTCTTGATGCTGAAAATGAGCGTCGAGCGTCAGCGTAAAAAGGCACCATCAAGAGTAGATGAGGATTTCGTTACGTATTATACGAGGCCCGTATACGCGTTTTCGATGCAGCGATTTGATGTGGGTGGAAATGACTGCACCGTTTGTTTTTTTTCGTCGCTTTTACAGCTTTTATTTACAAACACCACCCCGCCAAGTATCAGCGTCGTCTTTGTTTCTTTAATCCATTTAACGTGTATTATAATCGATTGAAACGGCATTGATCTATATCGAATGAGAGGGGAAGGGGCGGGGGAGCGGGTGAAGGGGCGAGGGTTTTTTTTTCGGGACGACAGCTAAAAACAGGCTCTACAAGTCGTAGAAGAGTAAAACCGAGGAAAAAATCTTCGTTCTAAGCGAGGCTCGCGCGGCGACAAAATCGAAGGTCGCAGATCGATGAGAAAAGAATTAATTGCTTTATCGACAATTATTTTATCGAATCGAAAGACCCATTTCGTTTGCCGTTACAGGGAGGAATTATTAACGCCTTCTCGGCGTTTTGATTTGGTTGATGAAAATCGAAGGCGAATTGACGCGATGTTGCATCAAACATCCATCTGACGCAATACACCAAAGCGCCATGGCAATGCCATGTGCAAAAAAAAAAGAAAGACGAATTGATATATTTCTGTGAATAAATTTATAAAAGACATCAAATAAAATAAAGACACATTTCGTCCGAATAAAAGTTAAATACAAATTTTCAAATCCTCGTCTAAATCGCGAACGTTTCTCTAATCCGAATAACAAGTTCTCAATTCGGGATTTGGTTAACGCGAAGTCGCGTAATTGAAGTAGCGGTCCCTTCGGGTTTTGCCGCCCCGGTTGTCCCTGGGAATGTCTACTGCGGGAGCTTGTCTACCGCACGAAAATGGTATTCTACACCTAACGCGGAGACTCTCAACCCCGTCCTGGACGAGAGGTCTCTGTTTCTCTCTTTCTCTTTCTCTCTTCATCTCTCTCGGAGACGATTCGAGATGTCCCTTGAATTTCAATCCTCGGCCGTCGGCCGTACCGACCCCCGGGGGGCTGTCGAAGGGGGTGTCCGCGCGACATCACGGGTTGAGATTCGCTTGGATCTACACACGTCTATCTAGTCTCGCGACAAGTGGCTGCGTCGGCATTCGAGCGGCTGCGATTCCGCAGCGAGCTGGAGAACGCTGGACGCTGCTCGCAACCCCGCGCGCTCTCGATTCTCGCTCATCTCTTTCTTTTCCCGCTTTTTCTTTCTCCTTTTCTCCCAATTCCCGCGAATTTACTCCTAACTCACCGCGCGCGACCACTTCGCGTCTCGTCACTCGCGCAGTTAAAATGGTAATTTCGCTACTCTCGTTAGCAAAAAACCTGTATCTCGACGTACTTCGTATCGGCTACACGTATAAATTGTGCAAAAAATTTAGCATGATTAATCGTAGGCCTTTCTTGTCGGAAAAGGCACGCGTACATATACATAATATGTATCTCGCGTCGTATTTCTTTTTTTTTTTATCCGTGTCTCCTCGCTGGTGAATATGCATATGTGTATATATAATATGTATGTATACATAATACGTAAGTCGTGTATACAAGTACATGTGTAGATATACCATCGACAAGAAAAAAGAAGGAGTACGGGGTAAGGGACAGGATACAGGGCGAAGGGGTCTGTGACAAGGCGGGGCATATACACATCTAGCACAATGATATCCATAACAGCAATCATAATAAATATTATCCCTTTGCGTCTTACATGAAAAGTACATGAAAAAGTCTCTGCTCCTTGTGCACGCCCTCGATCTCTCGATATTGCTACTTGCTAGACTCCAACAACAAACATCATCCTTATGCGATTATTCTCTCCTGAGCTCTTTTTTTTTCACCTCTTTCTCTCTCTTTCTTTCTCTCTAATATCTCTTTGCGTTTTCTTTTTATAACGATACCGGCAACCGCATCATTTTGTCATCGCCCGAGCTGCCGCGAAAGAAACGAGCTGTTAAATCACATGATAGATAAATCAAATAAGAAAGAAGAGCGGCAGGATAAAAATTGCATAAAATGTAATATCATCTTGGGGAATCAAAGTAAACTAGCAAGTATAGGACTTTGCGACATAAGATTAAAGTAAAAACCGGTTCTAAGAACTGTATGTAATAAGCGTTAACGCGCTCGTGACGTTCAGAGTTCGTACATACAAAATTCGATGAGTAATCATCTTATACCCGATATTATCAAAATGTTACGCGTTTCATGCGTTTACTCAGATTACTTGGCGTTTCGCAGATAGCGATATTCCTTTGAAAAAGCACGAAATGAATCGCCTCGAAGTGTCGCGAATCGTGGACTCCGAAAGGAGGCAAGTCGTTCCGATCCAATGAGACGTCTTGTTGATAAGCGACATTGCAGGAATCCCTTGGTACGGTTCGCGATGAAGTCCGCATGTTATGTAATCTTGACTTTTGTCCCGCGATCGTGAAACATCAACGAGAGAGCGGTGTGCGTTTAAACGCGCTCCTCCGGCACGGATAGCAATCGTCGGTCGCAAAGCAAGACAACCGTGGGTTATGGTTTTTTTTTTTCAGACATTTTATCAGAATTTATTATTTCGTGTAAACGTTTATAATAATTATAATTTACAATTACGATGGATTGATGATAAATACAAATAGAACAACGTAATTTGGGACGGGGAGTAGAAGGGTAGAAGGGGGGAAAAAAAGGGAAGAGAATGCAGAAAGACTGGATGATGGTTGCAGGAAAATGGTTTTCGCGCGAGTGGATAATATAGGTGGGCTGGATGGATGACCATGGCGTTTTCGTATGAAGAAAAAAGAGCGGGAGCGGGATACGAGGGACAGAATTGTGTAAATCCGCGTGATCGAACCTGTAGTGGAATGAAAGGACGTGTCGTCGTCGCTCCTCTCGCGATCGCCAACGTACGCACGAATTGCTCTAAAAAAAGAATAGTACGCGTTTTTGATTCGAGAATGATCGGTTAAAGGAGGAGACCTGGATGGTAAAGAGGGAAGCCTGTGCCAAGAAGCCACTGATAAATGACGATGATTTAGATGAAAATGAAAATGAAGATGATGATTGCGACGACAATGATGATAATTCTGATGTTGATGATAATGACGATATCGATGACAATGATGATGATGATGATGTCTCTCCCGATCGAGTGAAGTCACTGCCAGGATTATTAAAAAAACATAACGTTTATTTTGGAAAATTCATAATATCCAGAAAATGAAAAGAACACAAGATGTTAACGTTCGATTTGTTGAATCGGGGAGGAGGGGGGAGCTGGGAGGATAAGGACAAAGTTAGATTGGAGAAAACATCCCTGAAGAGATTCGAGAGAGAAAGGGGGCGAAAGGAGGAACAGTGTACACTCGAAGGAGGAAGAGAAGCCTCGACTCACGAGGGATGAGGATGAAAAGAGAAGGGACGTTACATCCGAGGGCCCGCTGCCTGCGCGGCGCGAGATCGAGGTCAACAAGCTACCCCTCCGATGCATCGTAACGGCCTCAGCATCTTGCCACTTTTGATTACACACGCGCGCACCACACCCAGACGTCCAGGCTACCAGGTTCACTCGACGCTACAAATGCTTCGAAGCATTTTTTCTCGATTGGTCAATTAGTAAAATTCTTTTTTTCATTGGTCAATCAAATGCATCGTGGCGCTCGTAGAGTCGAGTGGCTCGCACCCTCCAGTCTCGCACCCAGCCAGCCCTCGTTGAACGTTCACCGAGGACTTTCCGGAAGAGAGACAAGGGAGACGATACCTGTCTGTAGTTCCTGATCGTTCGACTCTTCGATCTCGTGTCTCTTAGCAGAACATCGAGGCGGAACGAATTGCAGGACGAGGATCTAGACGACAAGAAATGAGCATTAATAGTCTCCACGGTCGTATTTCATCGTCAACAAGACTGCGATAGTCGCGTAAATATTTAACTACTCGTTTTCTTATCTAATTCCTTGTCGTCTGTATCTTATCTCTTCACTTCACCCCCCACCTCGACGTTTGCATGACGGACGCAAGTCGCAAGATACTTTCGCCGGAGTACAGAGCTCGTTTTCCACACGTTTTGCGTCCCACGTTATACGATAGAGGCGAAACCGATACGACAAACTGCAACGCGGGACTTCAATTGCACGCGCTTTTACTCTCGCTTCTGTTCGACGGAAGGAGGAGGAGGTCGATAGAAGAAGAGTCGCAACGAGATTTCGGATGCTGTTCACTGCTGCTCATCATCTCTTCGACTCCGCGTCCGTCTCACTCTCGTGTCTTTTCTCTTTTTTTTTCTCCCTTCCTTCCTAGCAACCGTACGACGTTTGTCTCCCGCGTGTGTGTATGTGGGACGAATTACGGACAATCTCTTGTTGCGATAAAGACACCGATTATACATCGAGAAATATCAACGCGATAACAGGAAAACGTTTACCCATTCACGTGTAATTAGCGACTAACTTGCTGAAAACTGGCTGTCTCCCATAGCGATATTACATTACATGCGTGTGATACAAGTGTGTGTTTATGTGTGTGTATGTATGAATATATATGTGTGTGCTGCCAGTACGCGCGCGTATATACATATACTTAATTATACATATATATACGAGAATGTGCACGAGGATGTGCATATCTCAGCTCCCCGTTTCACGTCTCTTTCTTCTTCCCTCTTCGCGTCGTACACGCGAGCAGAGGGCGTGATTTTTTTTTTGTTCTGGATAGTCTTTGACCTCCCATTAGAATCTTGCGGTTTCCCCTCTAATGTAGAGCGTCTCTCTTGTTAAACAATGATTCGAAATACTTACATCGCGTTTTCGGAACATGTAATGGCAACGTGGTACACACGTCGAACGAAGTCCTACACGTCGTCCGATTAAAATTGTCGACACAGTTAATCTGAATACACTGCATGATTTATTTATTCGACACATCGCCACGATCTCTTAATCCTAATCAATCGGTAATAATTGCATATCGCATAAGTTTCATTTTTTTTTTTTCCTCGTGACTTTCTTCGATGTGTACACCTCGATCGAGGGGCTAAAAGGGGCTTAATCTTCCTCGAAGGAGCTGAACTTTGGTACTCTACCTTACACGAGACGCTGTCTTCGAGAAGCAATTATCGTAATTCGCAAACACACGTAATTTCCGCGCAAACTCTCAGAAATGAAAAACATTCGCAGGACGAAAAGTAAATATTACGTGACCTACATATCCTACATTTCGTGTGTAATGCTGTGTGCGTATAATTCGTTCTCTCCTCCATTCTTCTCGACCGCGCTACGAGTTTGCTAAGAATAAGTGATATAAATATATATATCTGTGGTGTATATATTATGTAATTGCGTAATAATATAGTAGAGAAAGAGAGAGAGAGAGACGAGGAGCGGTCGAATAGAAAGAGCGAGAGAGGAAGTCGAAGGTCCGGACGCCAGGATTATACAATCTCTTAATAACGTGTCGCACGTGCGTGTGCAATTTCTCTGCGCTCGACGATGACAATGGGAACTTGAGCGGCTTTTGTTCACAGATCCCCCGGCCTCCTTCTTCCGCATTCCGTTCCACGCGGATCACGCGAGACTTTTCGAGGGAACATCGATGCGAACGATCGCGACGACGAGCAGAACGACGGCGAGAAATGTCCTCTTCCTTTCTCTCTTTGCGGTTTTACAACACAGTTTGTAATAATCAAAATAACGGTGCACTACCGACGACCCTGATCGATGCAATCTTTCTCCCCGCGTGTAAATTACAGATAAGATTGAAGCGTAGTAAGTGGAATTAAATCCTAGACTCTGTTGGATCGCGACTTTGGGCTTTCGGTCGTGGGCGAAAGGAAAAAAGGGAGTAGAGTTCCGCGGTGGGAAGAGATCGAAATGCATGCAGATTGTGTGCATAATCATGGTGATAATGTTGGAGGAGAAAAAAATTAAAAAAAGAGAGACACAAGACTGTTTGAAAAATCAAGTCACCACTGATGTTCGTTTTGGAACTTAATAACTTAATGTATTTGTTTTTTTTTTTACTCTCCTTTCTCCTCCTGCGTTCTTCCCTTCGTATAATAATATTCGTTACTTGCTAGACAATGTGAAATTTAATTTAAATGACAACTGGATATAATGTAGTAGATTCATGCGTGCTTTTTTTCGTTTTTCTCGTTCTCTTCGCTTCTTCTCGCACCTCCGCGCTGTTTTCTTTTCGCTTGTGTTTGGTTTCTTTTTCTCTCATGTTTCTAACTTTACGTTTCTCTTACGTTTTTCTTTTTTGAGATGGTAAGCAGCGAGTAGATTTTGGGAGTAATGACAGTGGGTCGGGTCCTCTGCATTCCATGTCTCGTCCCGACGTGTGTACGATTTACTCTTTAATGGTACATAATTTTTTCTCTCGTTTTCTATTCGCAAAAGGTCCGATAATCTAGCGTTTGCTTTCTTCTTTTTTTTTTGTTTCTGGCTATGTGCGTTTATCGACAATGTGTGAATGCACGCGCGCGCACGCGACTGCGTCCGCGCGACAATTTTTTTTTTCGCGTCGACGAGACAGGGTATGCGGGGGAGATGTGAATGTGTCTCCTCCTGTCCTTTCCTCTATTCATCCACAATTCGCTCCTTCCTGTTCCTTCATACAAACGGGGGGACAATAAACGGATTTCTTGTTTTCTCTTTCTGACTAAGAAATTTCGTGCGCGAGAGACCGAACGATCCATGCCGCTGCTCGATCGTCCTTCTTCGCCAATGATGGTTTTCTCGCGCGTTTACTTCGACCCGATACGCGCTGCACGATCAACGTTCTCTATACTCCGAATATCGATCGAGTTTACAATTCCGTGTAAGGTTCGATCTTTGAGATCCTTCCCTTGTCCATCATCCGCGAACAGGCACTGATCGAGCAGGGGTGAATAATTCGAAGGCCCTCGACGTTCGAATTTGTCGAACCGGACGTAGCAGCTGTGGCGGTGGCATCGGTAGCGGTGTGCGGTCATGTCAGGATAAAGAAAGAGAGAGAAAGAGAGAGAGAGAGAAAAAAAGAGAGAAGGATCAGTTTTTTGAAAAGGAGAGAGAGATTTAAGGAAAAGGGAGGCCTGCGACTGGAAGGAAGGAAGGAAAGAAGGAAACGAGGTACGCGAGGGGCGAGAGGTCAGGTGGACATGGATGGATGGATCCGGGTGGATGGACATATGGGTGAGCACTTCAGGGGGGGGGGGGACGATAGAGAATAGGATGTTCTTATTAGGTTTAGAAAGGACTTAAGCTTAGGAAGGTTAGTTGTCGCCGCCCTCCTGTGGCTCGTCCCCGTCGCCCTGCGTGTCACTGGTCCACAGAGTGAGGTTGTCGCGCAGCAGCTGCATGATCAATGTGGAATCTTTGTAGCTGTCTTCATTAAGTGTGTCCAGCTCCGCGATCGCGTCGTCGAACGCCTGCAAAAGTAAAAAAAATATTTGTTACCTGTCAAATACTTGTTAGCCGGCCTCTTTTTTTTATTGTTACTTTTAAATCCTTAGCGTAGAAATTATTTTTCAACAATAATAATTTCACTAACAAAGAAAATCATTGCAGCATTCCAAAATGTACACGTATTATTTTTAAATAAAGGCATAAACTTCAATTTATATGTACAATTATATAAGTTCTATCAATATCCATAATTATAGAAGTTAAACTGTTACTTAATTAATATATAGAGAGAGAGACTATGATGCGGGATGGTTAGTGCAGTACCAGTGGAAAAGTATCTCAGTTTACCAATTATGCAATAGCAATTTGAAAAAAAAAAGAGGATTAAACGGCACAACATTCACATAATAATTGTTAGGATTAAATCAAATTAGGATTTGATCGTTAGAGGATAGATAGGATAAATGCACACGGCAGGAACCGTATCGATTTCATAGTAAGACTGCTGATTCCCCGCGACTTTGATATATTTAAAAAAAAAGTAAATTAAAATGTATCTCTTGAATTATCCAATTCAACGAAAGAGTGAAATTCATGGTGTCTTATTCTTTCTTTATTGCTCAAACCACGAAGAAAGTCCGAGATTTTCGCAGAAGTGCTTTAATCAGAATACATAGCTCTAATTCTCGCCCGTGTCCCTTATCAGCAGTCTTATCACGTACCCAGTACGAACGGCGAACGCGTTAATGCACATAACAGGCGGATTTGTACAGAGAAAAACTATCACGCCCTTCACAACTCTTCCTCTAACCTGCTTGGCTAAGTGACAGGCTCTAGCCGGGGAATTGATAATTTCGTAATAAAAAACGGAGAAGTTGAGGGCAAGGCCGAGCCTGATCGGGTGCGTAGGCTGCATTTTCGCCTTCGCAATGTCAAACGCCTCCTGGTACGCCTTCTGCGAATCCTCGACTACCGCTGCAAATGCAAATCAGGCCTCTATTCAGATTACACCTTCCACGACCTCATTTCTTCGCCCGTTGACCACCCAAGTAATAAATTGTCGTTGTCGGGAGATGGGGAGGGGGGAGAAGGGGCGGGAGAGGAAACGCGAGGAGAGACGAACGAAAGCCGAGTAAAAGGGGGGAAAAAGTGAATTTCAACGATTCGCCTCGCGTCTATCCTACAAAGATCGCGGCGCGTGTCGTTTCACTCGGAAAACTCCGCTTGGCCTTGAACGGGCTTGTATCCATAAATCGTAACCGATCTTCCACGAGGTTGATCCTCCTGAGACACGTGCATCTCCCATCCTGAGTCACCGCGGTGTATGACTCGAGCGAGTAAGTTCGACCCGACGGCGTTGTTAAAAATTTAAATACAAGCGCCTGTTTTTGCATATCACGCGATTTACAGGATGTGGTATTTATGGGAAAGTCTATCTAGGCAAATTAGTCAACGGCTGCGCATTACCGAAATAGCACTTGGTTCACTAAAATCATCTCGATAATTGCGCTACTATCAGCAGGCACTTTTCATAAGCAACTGTTGAAAGATATAAAAATAATCTACTACCATCGCCATGATAAGTATTAAAATTTCAATAACAACGTTAAAACCCTTAACGTAATTAGATTACACGATTTATATTTGTTTCCCAGCACGTTTGTCTACGTAACATATTGCAAATCGCTTATTGGCTTTTTTTTATCTTTAGCCAAATATTTTGCAAGCAAGTTTTCGTATCGCAGAAATTTTAACATCGCTCGTTTAGAAACTGTAAGTGTGCAGTATCTCAGGACAATCGTTCGCGGGATCGATGACGCGATTCGAAGTAGCAGTAACTGAAAGATATCGATCTTTGTAGGACGGAAGTAAAGGCAAGTTAATACAGAACGGGTTGTTTGTGTAAGATAAACTTTTGCCACCACTGTGCACCACCATCGCCGTCACCCGAGCCCTCTTTCCCACGGAATCGCTGGAAAAGTAACGATTAGTTCCTCTGATCGTATACCTGTTTGGCCAGTTGACAGGCCTTGTCTGGTGAGTTGAGAATCTCGTAATAGAAGACAGAAAAGTTGAGGGCGAGACCTAGCCTGATCGGGTGGGTAGGCTGCATCTTTGACTTGCTGATTTCGAAGGCATCCTGGTATGCCTTCTGGCTGTCCTCTACCACGGCTGAGATATTACGTGGATCATCAACACGTCTGTCTGTCTTGTTTTGCGTAAACTAACACGCGCTTCGAGTGCTTTCGTGTCAGATCGATTTGAGAGCTACTTAGAACTTAACATGAATTTATCGCGCGTTTCGAGATACGACATGAAAGAATTTTTGCATTAGCATTTGACTCTTGATTTTTACCTCTTCTCTATCTTTATATCTATTAGAATTTATTAGACTGATCTATTGTATTGTCGCTCTATTTACGTTCTAAGCAGCTCGATTGCTCTTACATGTTTTTCGGATTTAATTTATATACACTTCTTCAAAGCAAAAAGAGATAAAACAATATTTTTCTGAAAATGTAGATGTATATGTATTTAAATACTAATTATAATTTATCTTGCATTTAAATAGGGCAAAATTCTCAATGGAATGCAACTTGGAATAAAAATCGACTCGATTAGTAACACGTAAGAGCATTTTTATCACATTGGTGCGAATATCATACTTTTATTCGCTCCAATATTATTTTTATCTAAATCCAGTTTAATATAAACATTAATATTTGCATTTCCCTGGACTTCATATAAACTAACTCTCATAAAAATGCAAAATTTTTTTACGATGTTTGAAGTAATACAGTAAAGAGTAAAAAAGAGTAAAATAGATTCTAGATGTTCTAAACATTTTTCAATTAATTTAAAAAACAAAATCTCCAAATTAATCTTCAACTAATATTATCAATATATAGCGACAAATAATCATATTTATTATATTGATAATATAATAAAAAAAACAAAATATAAAAAAATTTAACGATTGACAATTATCTTTGTAGTCGGTATTCTTTGCAAGTCCTCGCGGACTGAAATTTGCGCGACTGAAGTTTCACCCGCGAGCGTCGTCGCAATCGACTTTCACTACTATAAAGCGACTCTGTGCGACTGCAAACTGACTTCGTTTTCCGATGTGCAAAAGTCCAGGGAGATCCGCCCATACGTCAAACCGAAGCATCTGTCGATGCAGCTGCGTCGCAGCGCGAGATACCACAAGTGCTCGCGATTCGAGAGTGGTGTGTATCTCATATCTCTCTCTTGCGCACACTTGCACAACCGGACGCACGATGCAGTTGCATCGATCACGTCGGAGGAGACGATCGAAGCGGACGACTTCGAGGCGCGAGGGGAGGGGAGGGGGGGGAGTGTACACTTTCCGTATAATTTCGTGTGCAACACGATTAATTTTGGACGACGCCTCACGCGCCAGTCGCGGCCGATATACGCTCGGCGTTCGATATATTGGACGAGAAGTCACGAGATTGCATCGCTACAAAAGATAATCTCGCGCCTCGAGGAGGCCTCCCCCTCTGCCGCCGCTTCGAGAGATCCGTCTCCCCGGGATCGAGTCCGCGAGGTAACGCGAGGGGATCGATACGTACTATTTCTGGTTTCACCGGTGGCGACTTCTGCGAGATACCTGTAGTAGTCACCCTTCATCTTGAGGTAGAATACTTTGCTCTCGGCATTGCTAGCCTTGGAGATCAGGAACTTATCCAGGAGTCCCTGTAAACACGCAAATACAAACAAATGAACGAACTGGCAGCGCTGAGATTAAAAAAAAAAAAGAAATAAAATTAATCTTGTAAGAGAAAAAAATCGAGTTATAACGTTTGCTGGATTTCCAGCTCTTCCCGTGTGCTTCGTCTACCTTGACAATTGATTAAACAAAAATCTCCTCGAACGTAAGCGTAGTGAAGGAAACGGCTTTCGAAATAGCGAAATTGCATTACATCTCGTGCATTCTTGCTTGCACCATTAATCAAACAATTCTCTTATATCTGAATCACGCTGCTGCGATTAGATCGCATTTCACGATTGAATGATCTATTATCGCGATGTGTGATTCACGATTTCTTCCATATAGGGCGAAATAGAAGTCTCAAGCTTAACACAATTAATTAAAATAAATGCATATATATATATATATATATATATATATATATGTGTATAATTATTTTATAGGTACATTTAATTATATATATAAATCATTAATGATACACAATACACGTGTAAAATGCTAAAAATAAATTTTCGGAAATAAATTATGCGCAGAAACATTATGATAAAAATTAATAAATCGTTATTATTAATTGCCACCGGAATAGAACATGTTTACGTGGTCAAATTAACGTGGAGAAGCAACGTGGAATTAATGCGCAATGCGCCGGTCAATGACGAGTCGCGTTTCACGCTACGCACATTCATCCCAACCGTGTCTACTTATGACGTAAGAGCAGTGTTGGCTCCGACCAACTTTGCATGCGCGAAACTCGCGTGCAAATAGCGCGCGGATATTTATTGCGCCTTAACGCAAACATAATGCATCGACCGGTCGCGCGGTCGGAATGGCGAAGGGAGACAAACAAAAATTTGCCCCGATTACCGGTGTTACATCACGATTGGCAACTTTCGAGCGACGAAAGCGACAAACAACGCAATGTCGCGCATACTAAAAATTGCAAAAATTGCACGTTGCGCGAAAATAGGCATCGTGGATATAAATTTCCGAAATAGATTCGAGAGCGTTTTCGCTGTCGCGCGCGCTTCGCAGGAAAGAGGTAAATGAACGCGCTCGGGTCCCGCAAGATTCTTAATTTAACAGCTCCGGTTATCTTATCGCCGTGCGAGACGAGTCTCGAAAAAGCCGCGTCGCCGCGCAAATCGTCGCATTTCGATGCGCGGACGCGCCGTCGTAAATTACGTCGCATAATCACGCGAGCGCGCGCGCGACCCGCGTCGCAATGAAGGTGGAGGGGAAAAAAAAAAAGAGATAGCCTAGTACGTCATCGCCCGCCGAGAGTTTCACCGTCTCTCTTTCGCGCATCGAACCTCGCCGCCGACGAGAGAGGAGAGAGACCGGTTTGAGTCACTCCCGAAGAAGTCTCCTCCCGTATATTCGTTCGCGTTTATTAATTTTAATCAAGCGCCACCCCCCCCCCTCTCCCCCCTCGATGACTTTACAGGGAGGCAAAATCGCGGCTGGTATATTATCGAAACGCGTTTCTTCGGAAGCTAAATAATAAATGAGGAGAGAACGTATCCGTGAAATCGACATCGTCGTCATAAAGCGAACATTCGATTTCGATCTGAATTCCTTATAGTCTTGAATCGATCGTCTGACATTCATATATTATTTCAGAAATTCTTATTGCGCGTCGCATTTGCGTCCCGATGCATTCTCTGCATTATTTTTTGCTTTCTCTCCCTTTCATCCCACTTAACGTCCGCCTCCCGATTTATTTTCTAAAGCCGTTTTGTTACGCGACAATTTATTTGAGATGACGACTGACTTTCACGAGTTTTCTCTCCATCCGCGTCGTCGCGCGGCGTCTATCGGGGTTAGAAATAACTCGGTTTTATTAAACCGCAAGCGCGAAACCGGCGGTGGCTACGTCAAGGCGCAAGTACAATAGCCGCCACGCTTACGGTGACGTGTATAGGAGAGGAGAAACAGGAACACGACTCCGATCGCCCGGCAATTGCGTTTCAGCTGGAGCCTTGCTCCAGTTTCGTCGTTTGACGCGCGGCATCTCCCGTGCGCCCGCGTGCCTCCTCAAATCCGACCCCTTTCCCTCCTCACCCCCCCCCCGTGTCGTCGTCGTAGTACCGCGAGCTTGTTGCAATTAGCGCGCTTGTTCTTCGAGCGGCCACCTTTACGAGCGCGCACAAAATTAAAACGGATAACTTACAAGTTGTTTAATTAAAGAGATATCTAGAACGTACTCCCTCCTCCCCTTCCCGCCTCGATTTATATACGTAATCCGAAATATACGGTAGCGATAACGCCGTAGGTGGAAATATTAAGGTCGCGCTTCGTTCCGAACACACTCGTGTCGAATATTCATACCGTTTCTTTAGCAAACAATAGCACGGCGAATGCCATTTTTCTAATTTGCGTCTAATTTATATTTTGAATCGTAAATTATTTCTTCCGGTAAAGAAATTCGAAAATATTTATGAGACTTAAATCAAGTACATTTATGCGGCGAGAAGCAAATAGGCTATTCATTGCATGACATCGCGTTATTCAAGAAGCATCGAAATAAAGACCCGCGGCACAATTTTTTTTTCTCTCCGTAAAAAGAAAACAGCCTCGAGCGAATTTAATTCCTTTGAAGGAGAGCCTCTATTACGAGGCGGAACGTGCCATTTCCGGTGGTCCGAGGTACATTCGTCTGGTGAACAGGCGTGCCCGCTTCCTCTTCCGTTTCCGCTTATTTCCGGATACTGGGAAAATATCACCCGCGTATAACGAGAACGGAGATCGAATGGAATCCCGTGGCGCGCGTGTCTCGCGAAAGGCATCGGGTATAGATCATAATTCGCCGAGTTTAATGAGTTCCGTGAGCTTCCGAGCGACAAAGTTCGAAAGGTCGCGCTTTAATATCTCGTCTCGCGAAGTCTCTACACGAATGAAAAGTATCAGCGAGGGACGCGAGATTGAGAACTCGGGGAACGATATCAAAAGGAATTAAGTAATTCCCGAATCATTATCGAGACAGGAAGAAACAAGTTATTTATAGCTTAAGAAGATTAAAGACGTTTCAGAGAAAGTAATAATGCTATTCTCCTGTAAGAAGTAAGACCATTTTTCAACATGCCGATCGTAGAGATTTTTCATGTCAACAAATAACTGCAGCAAGCAGCTTAATTAAATAAGGAAACAATTATTTCAATGCAGGAAATTATTTGAAGATAATTATTTGTACGCGGAAGAGACGGAAGCGAGTGGGACCTCTCGTCGCATTTACGGGAGGAAATACAGGCGTAAAAATCGCGAAGCGAGTATAGAAGGAACTCGTAATTGACCCGCGGGCGCGCGCGTGTGTGGGTATGTGAAATCCAATCCGGCGGAGTTTTCTTCACCCTTCAGAGATCGCGAGCAAGGAAGCGTGTGTGCGGAAGATTGTCAACGAAGAATCGCGTAAGACGATCCCCGGGCGCGGAAGAGAAACGAGTATTGCTTGCGCAAACGAGTTTCTCGAAGGCTCGAGGCAAGGTTAGTCCTGCGGGCGTCCCGCAGTAGTCACAGATCCACCTCGTTTCCTCGACGCGTTGACATTTTATTTTTATACGAGAGATGCCCGCCCGCCCGCTACCGAACTGATCCCTCTATATAGTCTATATCATCCTGGCGGAAATCAATCTTAACTGCGTCAGCGTTTAACGCGAGAAAATAAGCGACGAGACATCCTTCCAATTAACTCCAGCGGAGTCCATTCGAACGCGAATATAATTTCATTACAGGCTTAATTACTATAGGAATGAGGATTAAAAAAAATAAAAACCGTGCCATTCACTCTTTTTTTCCTTTTCCGCGACATTTTCCGCGAACAAAAGTCGGACGTTCTACAATCTACATGTAATCTCGTGTTAATCTAACGCCGGGGAAAATTTCAATGTACAAATTACGACGCAGTCACTCAGCGTTGTTTCAGCGAATAGAAAATATTGCGAGCGGTCTCTCGCTCCCTTGGAAAATAGGTTAACCGGATGAGGGGGGGGGGGAGTGGAAAACATTTTCTATAATTGCTTTCTACAAGTTAGATTATTTTGTTGTTACTTGGAATTAATTAACACACCAAGAGAGAGGTAGGTCTAACACGGCTGGAAATTTCGCGTCAATGCGCTCTCGACGGAACACGCTATGCTAATGAGACTTCGCGGCGCATAAAAGCCGGGGTATTTTCGTAGTCGCACTTCCTCGTTTCGTTATCGCGTCGCTGGTACGCGACGACTACGCAGTAACGAATCGCTAACGAGTAGCAGCACGGAGTGCTGGCAGTCGGGTGCGTTTCGGACGTAGCTGAACGCCTTCGGATTCCCATCTCCGACGAAGAAGTCGCGCTTGTTAGAGAAGGTGCAGGGAGGTACTTTCCGGCGAGCAAGACATCACGGGATTGATCATCCCGTTAGAAAGCGACTCCTTGTAATTGACGATTGCGCTTTTCTTTCAAACTTCAACCGATCTTTGTACTCCTTGAACTTCTACCTACGCACATTCGTCTCTTGTTTATCTGCTACAAATAACAAATTTGCTCTCGTCATATGTGTTCGCGTCTAAAACTTTTATATGCATATTTGTACATTTTTTTATTTTTTAACTTCCCATTTATAAAATAAAATTGTAAAATAAGAGAAAAAGATGCGTCGCAAAAAAATGAGTAGCGGTCAGCGCAATATTAATAATACAAGGTAGAGACGGATGAATATCCAACCGCGGGCGTATTCTGGAATCCCGCGCGCGTAGGTGTACGTACGTTTCAGGATAAAGAGTAACTCACGTGAGGATGAAATCATCGTAATTATGCGAAATTACTCGTTTATCGATTCCCCTCCCCCCGCCCGTCGCGATTCTCGGAGCGCGACCCCCTTTGGACGCGCGCGCGCGAGCGCCGGTTACTCAACAGCATATGATTTTCACCGACACCTTTCCGGGACTCGTCGACTATGTATGGAGAACAGGAAACACATCGCGACGGCCGCACCGGTGCGGAAAAAGGAGCGGAATGTACTCGGCTTGTTCTCGGCGCGGCGCGTTCGTGTTCGGAGGGAACGAAGGCGACACACCGGTCTCGCCAATCTCTCGAACGCGTTCTCTCTCTTTCGGCTTCGTTGAATCGATCGAAATAGAAAGCCCGGATAGCAATTAATAAAATGCAAAATGGAAAGCACCGAAGGCCATTATAAAAATACAAAGCGCAAAAAGCGTGAAAAACAAAATCAACTATATATAAATGGCCTTCAATTAATCTTAATTAATGTATCGTGTAAATAAATTTTAATTTAACATATGATACAATAAAAAACACGTAACTACTTTCAATAATAACGAATAATGAAGATATTTATGTCACAAATATTTTAAAAGATATATATCGCGCGGCGTGTAAAAAAACAACGCTGACGTATCACGCTTATTTAAAACAGATACGATGTTTATCTAAATGAATGCTCATTAGATATAGCGGTGAAAGATAGAGATCTAATAAAATAGCGTGACAAAGCTATCAGAGATTCAATACACGCAGACTGATTAGCCTAAACGCACGGCAAGAAGCATTAGCATAAATACTACTTTGTGAGCTAACTTTCTACCCATACGTAATATAGACATCAATCTCGCGATCTTTATAGCTTTCCCCGCTCAAAATATTTCCATTGAGATCTGATCGCTGTATATTAGATTGTCAAATTTGATTATTTAAGCTCTATTTTAACATGATATAACGGAAGCAATAAATTAAATCTTTACGATATAAAATATGTCAAATTTAAAATCATATTGAGCATATTTCATATTTAATACGACTATAATTTGATCGGCAAATCAATATGCGAGATTACTGTGAGCGGCGATTCTACTTTCGCGATTTTACTCGCACTGAGAAATTTATTTACTCCGTTATTAACCGTGGCACAAGAATGCGCGATAAAACGTGACACATCGTCACGATATAGAAGGTCCGCAATACTCACAACAGTGCGGAAGCCCGCGACAGTGTGCCAACCGCCTGAAATACGATATTGCGAATCCGTGAGAAAGCACGTGCACGCGTCCCCACCCCACACTACCCCCGCGAAATTAATTTCGAGCAACGTACGAGCAGGAATTTTTTCGGATGTAAATTAATGTTCCCAGACGTAGAAATATAGCGCCGAGTTCTCACGAATGCATCATCGGCGTTGATAGATTGTTCGTCGCGAGATCGAATCTCGAACGATCGAAATCGTACGTCAGCGCAAAATTAATACGCGATAAACGATTAAGATACACGGCGGAATGAATCGAGAACGGGATTATCTACGACAAAACGCGATTTGTAGCGATAATATGTAAATTATCCGATGTAAATTCATTCAAGACATTAAATTATAGTGTTTAAAGATAGTCAAAAGAGAATATTGTTTTTTCTCGCATTCTTACGTTTACTTTCACAAAGTAAAATTTTTCACTATTACTTTATCTTTCTCTTAAGCTGCAAATTATTTCGACAGTCATACACGACAGTCGTGTCATCTATAATTATTCGAGAGACTATAGTTTTTAATGCTCCTGTAATATCTTATCGGAACGTTTTCCCAGGGCAATGATTCCGTACTTTTAACGACAGTGTCGGTATCGTTATACTGTCGTTGCGCAAATATTTTATGGTAATATAAATATGGTAAAAAAGCTGCGCCACGACAATATAACGATACCGAATTGTCGTTAAGAGTTACAGAATCGGGGTACAGGAGAGATATGTGACGACAGATAATCGATAAATGTGAAGGGAACGTCGAAACGTTACGTTTGTGAGCGATTGCATTGTCGTTAACGAGCACGTTTATCGTAGGCATCGAATCGAATGCAGAAGCTAGCTCTCTACGCGGGCGGCGGCTCAAAGCGCGCGCGAGAGAGGTTCGCCCAAACGGTTCCGCTGAAGTTCGCTTCATCAAGACCACAGAGTCGACTCAATTAACCTTATTACGGTCTAATCGCGAGCGTGACGGTTATACAGCATCAACGTATCGTTCGAAAATAACTCTCTCGATGATTGTTTATCGATTCGCGTACAGCGAGAACAGCGAAAACCGCGGCACCTCGTCCCGTTGCGCGATTTCACAGCAGGCAAAGATTGTCTGAGAAAAGGAGGAAAAAAGGTATAGAAAAAAATAGGAAACTGCTAATTCGTTTTATTTTAATATAAAAATGAGGCACCCCCAGTTTTTCCCAGTGTCTCTCGTTTCTCGCGCGTCCTCCAAATTACGTCGATGAATTATCGAAGGAATTACGTTAACCGTGAGACAAGAGAGAGAGACGTTAAAAGCCAGTCTTCCATCATCTGGGTCGCGCCAAGACATTTGTTCAAACACGTTTACTCCTCGGCAAACACAATTCGCAGTTTTTTTCCTACTTCCCGAGAGAGAACACACGCGGCGCTTCCCGCCCGTCCTCCCCCTCCCTCCTCCGCCCCGTATTTCAATGCCTCTTGCGCGCCTCATCTCTTATCGCCCGTGTCGTCGCTTTTCTTGTCTAGAGCTCGACTTCGATCAATACCCCAGGCGACACAATGAGCCTGACCGCCGGGTAAGCACACGCGAATTGCGCGTACACGCCGTATATGTAACGAGCACACGTCGATCGGAGGCAGAAATGTAAATTCTTCGCTCTATTTCTTTTCAAATAAACGTACATCTCCACATCTTCCCGAGGAAACAGATATAATCAGAGAATGCAAATAATCAATTCATAAGCACACAAACGTGTCATTTATAACAATAAAAATGCTTCATAAATGTCAATTGTGTTATCAATGAAGTAAATTACTAATTAATATATTCATTAAGAAATATTGTGACAAGATAATATTTTCAAGGATAAAATGAATTTATCACTCAAAATAAGTTCGAGGCGGGCGTGTCTTTTCCGAACGTTGGTCTTTTCAGGCGTATATAATAATTCTCGCTGAAGCGAAAAGAAAAGGGCGGCCAATACGGCTTTTCAGGACAGGAAAAAAAAAGGGCGACCAGAGTGTGTATTTCGCTTACCAATACATCGTAGCAGATCTCGCGCAATTCCTTCTCGACCTTTTCCCGGTATTCCTTGGCCATCTGCTGTTTGCGTTCGGAGCCTTCGGTCTTCTGCTCGATGGAGGAGATTACCCGCCACGAGCTACGTCTCGCTCCTACGACATTCTTGTACGCCACCGAGAGCAGGTTCCTCTCCTCGTTCGACAGCTCGACTCCCGTCTCGGTGACCGCCTTCATCGCGGACGCCATGTCATCGTACCTTTCCGCCTGCTCGGCAAGCTTCGCACGCTGCACTAATTCCTCCTTATCCACGGACATTGTGTCGGCTGGAATCAGAAGAGAACGCGAGGTCAGCGGGAACGTCGAATTTTCAAAGTCCGGAGTTGTTCGCGAGGGCTCTTTCGCGTTTCCGCTTTTATGCGAGCGTGACGTCAATGTCAAAATTTCGTTGCACTTATCAAAAATTGAAGTGCATTTAGCCAAGGAAAAAGAAGGCTATGAAAATAAAATAAAATAATTTTTTTTTAATAAAAGATAAAAGGGTCGCAAATCTTCAAAATTGCCTACGTAGCAAACGCTAAGATCCAATAAAGAGATTGCAACTTTGTTTAAAAGCATCGATATAATAGTGCGTTAAAAAAAAAAAAAAAATGTGACATTCCAAAACTTCAGGATTTTACGTCGTCAAGAATACAGCGTTCTCACGTCCGAAGTTTCAGGGACTCAAGAGGGATCAAATACAAAAGGAAATCATAGGATTCAAAGAACCAAGATTTTTCCATGATCGTGTGTCTAGACCGATCCATCGCACCGTTCGTATTTTCCAAAATACAAAATCGTGCGGCGATGCAAAACGATGATATCCCGCGCTAAACGCTCACACGAGCGATTTCAGCGGGAATTATCGCGTTCGGCGCGGGGAGGATAAACGGAGCAAGAGAGATAAGGCAAGAAAACTTGCGTGTCGGTATTGAGCAGGTCAGAGAGGCTGTCGAATGGAGACACACGTCGAGATAGCGAGAGACATCGGGGGGGAGAAGGAGGATGTGCAACACGCGATGCACAAAGCGCGACCGACCGACCGCGCTCGCGTTTCAATGTCGTCTCTGGGTTCCTTTTGTCGCGTGTCCCCGGAGAGGTCGGGAAGAATAGGTCTCTCGCACACCGACGCGCGTATAGAAGCCAGATGACGACGACAACGACGACGACGACGATGTTGCGGATCCGCTCACGAAACGGGACTGGCCTCGTTAGACATGGCAAACGATCGACGCACGTCTGTTCCTGCCCGAGACAGAACGACCTTTTCCCTTTCTAAGTCACGTGCAACGAAGTCCTTTTATCCCCGGAACATTCCGAGACGCAGCAGTGCTATCGAGATAACGGGAAGACACTAAAATACCCCTAAAAAATACCATAGAGCAAACAAAGCGACGTTTATTTTTGTCACGATTTGAGATTTTGAGGTTGAGAAATCATACAGTTCTTTTTATCCTATACGTTCTCTCCAGGGGATTTCGTCTTGAAAAGAAAACGAACATTCTTGGTGATGCTGAACAATTATGTATCTTCAAGCCGACCTGTTTGCCAGGCGTCGTCATGTCTGACAAAAAATATTCATGTAGAATTTTCTCTGACAAAAAATATTCATGTAGAATTTTCTCTGACAAATAAACAGGAAAAAACAGATCTCAACTTTCAAGGTGAAAAGATACCAAGAGAAGGAATTCTTGTCTTGAAATTTCTTTTCCATCGAAAAACATGATATTATCCTATGATTTGTTTCTTATTTTAGCACTTGTTTCCAACCGTTACTATACAATTATAGCGCAGTCTACAATGCAATTACGGCGCGACTATACAATTATCGTATTAATCGTAATTAATTCTCGGCATTCGTAACGCTGCGAAAGAAAAAAGTGACCGAGGTCATAGAAAAAAAGCTAAGCATCTGTCGAAGATACCAATCGAAGTATTTTCTACAATCGAATCGAGTGAGTATTTAATCACCGAGAAAATTGATATGACATACGTACCTACGTGACTTGATAAACGCTGCAATAAGAAAAGACTACGTTATAAGAATGCAACACCCACACGCGTGTTACCGCGGCCGAGAATCGCATTACCATGGAAACCCGTCTGAAAAAAAGCGACTATTTCCGGCACGAAAGCGAGATTTGCCATGAAATAGTCGAGGATCACGTAGCCCTTTTGGGCACCGCCGATCGATACACGCCAACACTTTTTGCGGCTATCTAGCAAAAGCTACGTTACGTAATGCCTCGTGACTGGTAACTTTGAACATCGATATCAAATTCTCAATCAAATTAATTTCACTAATGAGGATTCAATGTAAAATGATACTTTGCTAATTATTAAATAACAATCTTGCAATAACCATAAATATCTAATTTCAATTTTATTTTTAAAACAGTTTATTTCGAACTATTAATTATTAATATATTAATAATTATTAAATGTTGTCCTTATTTTTTCGAGATAAGCACTATTTTTATTTCCACTTCTCTCTTTCGAATCACATCGCTGCAACTTCTATTCGGCATCTGTCCATTCAAGAATTAAAATTAATCAATAATATTCTCTTTTTCATTCAGAAGCATTAATACATAATTAATTTCTGATTTTATCACGCACAACGACGCTGAAAATTACAATCTATCTCCAACTCTAATCTGTCGTTTTAATCAATCGGACAGACAGACTATCACCGGATATCAATGGATCGATGGGCGTGACCATATGAGATTATCCTGCTTACGCAACGATCGCCTTATCTTTATTTGTTATTCTTTCGGAGCGTTTTACTCGAAAACAATTAATATAAACTCAATCGAGTCTTATCGAAGGAGCGAAATTCAAATCGATATACCCTCTGCGGCCTCTACGTTTAACGACCATCTTAAATCTTAATCTCGAGCGGCCCTCGATCGTTTATGGCGGAGGCGCGTGGACGGCAATTATCGTTCTCCCTTTGTTCCCTTTTCTTTTTTATTTGGCTGGCATCTGCCGCTCGAACGGAATAAATCACCAGCGCGGACTGGCCGACTCGGTCAGCGAGGTAATATCTCTCGTCGACGGATTGCACGTGCGTGTGAATCCGTGAGCCGATAAGAGAATCAGCCCGTCTGCTCGATAAAATGAACGGATAAAACGAGGCGAGTGCACGTTCGATGCACCGGGGAAGAGAGCGGACGATTATGTCGTCGTCGTCGGGCAGAAGTGCGTCAACAATAAGCTGTTACCGAGAAAACGTAAATCACGTCTGCCATCGGCATTGAAGTGCACGCGATTTGAATGACGAATTCACCTTTGTCTTCTCTCAAAGTCTTCTTTTCAGAGATGCATCGTTTACGAAGTAGAAAACAATTCGCGGCAGAGATGCAACACAACAAAAATAAGCAAATTATGATTGTAAGAGTTTTGAAAGTTTCGCGCTCAAGTTCCTGAAAGATTGAACTCCTGCAAAGCACTTTCGCCTAGTCACTGGCAGCTGATCAGATCAGATTCGTGAATCTTTAATTCGAACGTAGTTCGAAAAGAAGACGAACAGAATTCCACAGTCAAAAGCGGAAACCTCCGTATGTTCTGAAATAGTTGAGTTTCTAGGTTCATGTCGGTTGCACGTTTGTAAGAAGCAACGGGACGTCGTAATACCATCCGTTGTCGTAATACCGTACCGGAATGTTATGTCGTCGTTGTAGTACGCGAGAGAGAGGAAACGACGGTGATTCATGCCGTAGAATTGAAAGAACGAATTACATCGCGGACTGGGAAGCGAGGCTAGACGCATTCATGAACTGTATATCAGGCAAAACGTAACGCGCCGTCCACGCAAGAAAATCGAAGGATATAATTTTCGCAGCGATGTGAACGACCTTCACACAAACTGGTCTGTTACGCAATTTCCTCGCCAATTTCTTGACCATCGTGTCGTGAGAGACAAATTCTTGTAAACGTGAAAAAATCAAATTAATTCCCATTTTAAATACCTCATATATATGCGTTGTTTAGTAACACGAGTTTAATCGGTTTGTTCTTTCAGAAACTGAAATAATCTTCTATCTAAATAATTATAATGGAATTTTGCGAATAAATTCGCCGTGAATGAATTCTCCTCCGAGCGAACGCATTCTTGGTAAAGATATAAGAATAAGTTGCCGGACAGAAGTAATTTTCTTTTAAAAATTAAAACTCCTTTCTCACTGAATTAATTTTCAGGCAAAAGCGAAGCGACATCGCGGACAAGACACTGAAACACGAAGACCGACCGGTGAATCGGACGATTTCCCGAGGGAGATTTTCCACGGTGCGTTCATAGGAAGGGTAATTAAAAATACATCGTGGCGCACGAGAGGAGGTTCCTTCGTAAAAATAGCTTGTAAATTAAATACGTTACGTGATCACGTTGCGCCGCAAAAGTTTCTCGACGATGCGCATCGAGGTTTCCATACGCGTCGATAAAGTTCACTTTTAACGAGCGATACTACATAACTAATCTATAAATATCTGAGTTTTTAGATAATTACAACAGTAAAAATATCATAAAGAAATTACTTGGAAAATATAAATAAAAACAAAAAAATCTCGCTATTCATAAATTTTATAAATTTTGAAAAATTAAAGGTAAATAGCGATGACAATTTTAATACATATATTGCGTCTAAATTATTGGTTTAGTTCCACAATTTAATATAATTCCATGAGTTAACCGATTCCACGAATTGTAACAACGGTATCTTAAAGGGAAGTGGGTTGGCAAAAAAAAAAAAGACATCGTCTAATATCCACAGATAATCTGGTGTAAAAGCAACCGGATATGATCGCGTGGTAGGATGACTCATTGCTTTAAAGCTGGTCGGTGCCGTCGAAAAACCCACGAGAGCTCTAAGGGCCACTTAACCCTGAAGAACGTAGACGGCCTGCTCTCTCTGGAGAATCTCCTTATAAGTGTACCAAAGAATTACAAAAACTTATCATCATTAACGAAGGCTTCACAATATTTCCGACCTCGTCATTCATCCTTCCCAATGTTCATATATGTTTATACTCGTTAATTTTTTTAGAAAAAAAAAGTGAGTTAATAAAATATCTATATATATAACAATTATTAAATTAAATAATACTCGAAATTACGTGTGCTCCGCATTTGTTTCTCTCAAAATATCTTCTCGAACTTGTCGAAGAGAATTTAACTCCCACAAAATAGCGGGAGAAAAACTGGCAAGCAGTTCTGCGAAGTTTAATGACGCTGAATATCCGCAAGAATGCAGAATGTGCATGAACGGATGTTTACCTAACGAGA